AACCCTATCTAGGGGTAAACAACCAATGCTGTATCATCCTCATCTCACTTCTTCGCCCCCCCCCCACACACACTGGGATTAAACACAAAACCTCTACACTCAACTACAGCCAACCTTTTCTAATTTTTTGTTTTAAGACAGCTTCTCACTAAATTGCTCAAGCTGGCTTTGAACTTTCAATCTTTTTTTTTTTTAACTTCAATCTTGCCTCAGCCTCGTTAGTAACTGCTATTATAAACATGCATCATCACCTGGGCTTCTAATGCTGCTTCTTTATAGGCAGCAAGAAGTCTACTTTTTCCTACTGTTTTCAAACAAAAGTAACTGAAAACAGAAAGTTCAAAAAAAAAAAAAAACCTTAATACAAAGTTACTTTCAAAACCAGAATGGTCTATATAATTTATAAATACTTCAGTTACAAAGACATAAAATGAGAGAAAAGATCACTTACTCAAACTCTTTAATGCCCTGTGTATCTTGTTTTATTAATAAACATAATTTTTGTCTTTGTTATTTGGACAAGATCTTGCCACCTTAAATGTGTGATTTTTAATCTATTCTATATCATATGAGTTTAACTTTTAAGCCTCTATTATATTCTAGTGAAGAGGTAACACTGCCCAAGGAAAACTTGGCAATTCATTTGAAAAGTACCTCAAAGATCGTCAGGGATAACAAAAAGTAATTCTGGCTTATGAGATATAAAATTAGTTTATTCTGACCTGTGTGTTCATCAAAAAAATTAAATAATTCCCCTTTTATTACTATTTTCTTTGCTTTTTAAGCAAACATGCACATAATCCACAGGTCATAAAACTTTCGGATTTTTTATTTTTACTACTGAGGATTAAACCCAGGGTTTCTCACTGAGCTACATCCCTAGTCCTTATTATATATTTACTTATGTGTGTATGCATGCACTACTGGTGACCGAATTCAACAACTCATGTGCTAGACAAGTGCCACAGCCTCAGCTTCTAGTCCTTGTTTTATTTCTTATTTCTGGGACAGGATCTCTATAAATTGCCTGAGATGGATTCAAATTTGTAATCCTCCTGCCTCAGCTTTCTGGGTTTACAGGTATACCACCACACTCAGCTTTTCAGCTCTTTTTCTTTTCTTTTTTTTTAAAGTACTCAGGGCTGGGGGTTTAGTTCAGCAGCATAAGTGCCTGCTTGGCAAGCATGAGATCCTGAGTTCAATCTCCAGTACCAAAAAAAAACAAAGTGCAAAAAGTACTCCAATATTTACCAACTCTCCCAATTATAAGTCATTTCCTCAACTCTGTCTTTTTTGAGAAAGAATGTTTTTTTGTTTTTGTTTTGTTTTGTTGGTGCAGGAGATCAAACCCAGGGCCTTGTGCAGGCAAGGCAAGAATTCTACCACTGAGCCACATCCCCGGCCCCAAGAATTTTCTTTTGAGACAAGTATATGTAATAATACCCAGTGAACCTAAACACAAGGCAACAGGGCAGGAATTTTTTAAATACCATTTTATCATCTCAAACATCTCAAAAACATTCTTTGGATCCCCCAATACTTTTCAAACTAATCCCTGTGGCTATTATCTTTCCCAAAATAATTCAATTGTATAAATCTCTGCATAGTTCTCAGTTTTTGCCACCTTTTAGATAAAAGTTAATGTCTTCTGAGCCAGGTGTGGCTCATGACTGTAATGCTGCCATGTGAGAGGTGGAAGCTGTGGCTCATTATGAATTCAAAGCCACCTGAGTTAAGTAGTGAGTTCAAGGCCAGCCTGTACTACAGGGCAAGACCCAGTAACACACAGTACAGAGCAAGGCCCAGTCACACACAGTCACACAGTCACACAGTCACACACATACACACCCATCTTCTTGAAGAAGAGACAAGCAGGAATCCGCATGAAAACTCTACTTTTTTCATATTCTCTACATTTCCTATTATCTCCTTACAATTCTGCACAGCATCATTTACCTTTGGTCAGAAGTCTGTAATTACAGTTAAACTCCCATTATTACTTTGCTTTTAGAAAAGTATAAAACTGCAACATAATTCAACACAGGCTCTAAAATAAGATTTTTAAAAATCATGTTTTAATTTGTATACTAAAATTCGTGTTTTACAAACTTATATTCCTAGCTGAATGAAGAAGCAACATTCTCCTGGGATGTGTCTATTTCTCAATAACATGAGAAGTATGCAGCCTATTAAATGCAGGGATACTCTGTAGCCTCCTAACATCCTGGCTGTATTTGATCCACTTAAATATATTTCGGAAATCAATCTAGTTGATATCTATATTCACCACTACTGAAAAGTCAAAAATAGTTCGAAATTTTATTTTCTTTCATATAAAAGGAATCCTAAAGGAATGGGAATAATGGTAAAGAAGCAATATGCTCATGATCCAAGAGAAGACAGACTCATGAAAAATCAAGAGGGATTACTAAGCAGTCTGGCTTCCCTCACTCAAGTCAGTATCTCTAACAATCTTCAGTAATTTAGGACCTCTGCATTCTTATCAGTTGATCTGTTTTAAGAACTTGCATAAAGCCAGAAAAGTATGCAGCAGCAGCTAAAGGGACTGTAACCCCTCAAGTGCAAACAATCTTTGAGTACACTTAGTCCAAAAGGTACAGTTTTATAAAATGTATTCCTAATGGAGTTCCAGAGGACACACACTTAAGAAAAGGTGGAGGAGGCGAAAGAGCTTTGAGTTTGGTTTTAGCCTGCAGTTCAAAAAACTAAGCCACGGGTAACAAAAGCACACTAGCAATCTCACCCACTCCACCCACCACATATACATACACAGACACACAAAGAAAAGTGGATTGCAGTGCTCCTCATCTCTCATTTCCAGAGTAATAAAAAGAGCAATGATAAAAAAAGAAATTCTGATGCCTTGAGGTAGATTATACTTGGGAAATAAGGGGTTAAGCATTAACTTCTTTCCTGGAAACCTTCCAATTCCGTAGGTGCTAATGCAATTCTCAATACTACAATACCTAATTTTAAAAATTCAGCAGGGTAGGGGTTAAGACCAACAATGCCTTAGAAAAATAAGAACTTGATTCAATGCCACCTTCTTTAAAGTAAATATGAACAACTCTGAGCCAAATCCATTCAGCGTATATAAGACCACGTGACCTGCCAAAAAACAGGTGCAAAGACATGAGTTCCCTCTGGTTTCTCACCTTACAGCACCACACACTTAAACAGATTTCACAAATTTGTGAAACTCACAAGTGTCACGATAAAATAAAAAATATGCATAAAAATCTATGGTACTAAAGATTTAAAAACTATTAACAAGTCATGAAGATCACTACAAATCAGCAGAAGTAACTAGAATGTGGGTGAAGAAAGTCAAACAGTCCCCATGGAAACAAAACCCAAAAGATACACAAACAGAAGGGACATAACCCGCAGAACAAAAGTTTTAGAAGAAAAGCTCCTAACTAAAAGGGTCAATTCTGACCCTAAAGAAATAGGGAAAAATGTAGCTTTAGTCACCAAAGGGAAGGGGATGTCACCAATATTAACCCTGTATTTGTGAAAAGAAAGGTGTTCACCAGATAAAAACAGGCAGTTACTGACAGCCTGTATGTCACTGGAAAGGAGTCCAGGAGCACCTGGTCTTGCTAGAAATAGTGGGGAAAGATGAGTCACTATTTTATTTCTGATTAAGTATGCTCCGAATCCCAACACTCTAAGTCACAAAACATTTTCTTGCTGTTGCCATCACTTTATCCAGTTTTCTCACCAAACTTGTGGAGTACAGTCAGAATACTGGGGGAAGGGGTCAAAAGCAAGCAAGATGTAAGTTACAATCCAATGTGGTCCGCAGAAAGAGATACTAAAGCTGTCACATAAGTACCTGAAAGAGAAGACTTAAGTAACTACTTAACTAGCAAATGCTAAGACTAACAAAACTCTTTCCCTCTCCTGAACACTGCTCCATATCTTTGAAAGTTCTCACATTAAAAAAGCAAGTTAACACCCTAGAAAGAAGAGTAAGAAAGATTTAAGGTGGACAAAAGGTACTAAAATATAATAGAACTACATGAATATCAATATTCCCTCAGACTTGGAAGTCATTAGCACCTGAAGAAAAGGGATGTCAGTGACCTTGGCACATAGGAGGCAGAAGAGGAGTGGAGCAGATGGTTCTCACAGAAAATGTATAAAAAGCAATTCAATTACTCATAAACTTCTGCGACTTGAAAACCCAACTTTCAGAGCCACAGGGGAGGTTTATCACCATCCTAGATCAAGAAGGGCATAATTATGACAGAAGTTCTAATCCTCTAAAAAGTGACAACCAACAGGGTGAAGACAAGGTTCTCTGGAGAGAAACAGTAGGAAACCAATCATCGTCACACCCCAATGACCACAGGATCTGGGCAGGAACCCCTCCACGTAATCACAAGGACGAACGTCCCAGGGAGGAGGGAAGGCAGGGCTCAAGTCAGGTAACATTCCTGAGGGGAAGGATTATCAGGTGACACCGGGCAGAGGGCCGGGACGGGGAGCGGGACCTGGACGGGGACGGGAACGGCAGGAGGAAAGTTAGCAGGTGAAAGAGATCAATCATGAGGAAGTAACCTTAGAAAGGAAATAAGAGAATACCAAAAAATGGGGTGAAGATGAAGAGAGAAAATGGATCCAGAACAGCACAGGCGACCAAAAAGAGGCGTGTTTCGGTACTAGAGGCAGAAGAAAGGAAGTGTGGCTGAGAGGCAGCGGGGCCACGGGGGCGGCCGGGCTGAGACTGCGGGCTGGGGTGCGAGGGACGCCGCGCGGGTGCCAGGACAGAGCCGGGGCACTCGGGGCTACCCGAGGTCCGGAGAGGGAGGATGTGGAGCTTCGGAGCCGAGGACCCAACGAAACCAGGTAGAAGCGCGGGGGCGGCTCCCTAGAACCGGGCAGGAGTCCTCAGAGCCGCCTACGATGATCACCGGAGCCCAGGGGGTGGCTACCGGGCCGCGCTGAAGGCGCGGGGTGGGAGGGACACTTACAAATTTCTTGGATTTGCCGCCGTCGCCGCCCGTCGCAGGCAGCTCATCCGGGCTCCGGCCCTTCTTCTTGTCCCGGGTCCCGCGGCCGGGCCCTTGGCTTCCACCGGAGGGCTCCATGTCCCGGTTCGCACGGTCAGTGACCCCGCGCCTACACCGCTCCCGCCTGGCCGCTCCACGCCAGCCGCCGCCGCCGCCCAGCAGCTCTTCAGCCGGCCGCCGCGCCCCGCCTCATTAGCATGCCGAGCTGCGCGCGCCTCATGAATATACAACGGCGACGCCTCGCTCCCGCCCGCCTGCCCCACTTCCGCCCGGACCCGCAGCCCCTACCAATGGGGGGAAGGGAAGGGGGTGGAGGGAAGTCGCGGAAGCGCGCTACCTGCCCAGCGGACCTAACCATTCGGACCCACGTTGGGGGGGGGCGGGGGCGAGTGGGCGGTGCAGCGCTCCGGGCCACAGGAGCACCGCCCCCTGGCGGTCAGAGCCCGCAGGCTCCTTAGCCCCAGCGCAGCACCCAAGTGGCTGTAAAGCCTAAACCACCTCACATCTAGACCAGGGTATGATGATCTAAACCAAAAACTGCATGGCAGGGACTGTTATTCTGTCAGAAAATTTAAGTGCTGGGCGTTTTAGGATAACTCAGTTTTTACTGTCTGCAATACATTTGGAATAAACACACAAAAAATAACTGGACAGCTACCATGTATTTTCAGAGCTATGTGCCAAGAAGAAAGCTTGATCCACCTGACACACTAGATTGTGAAATAGACTAGTTCTGGAGTTAACACTGCCCAGTTCCCCATCCCAGCGTGCCTCCATTTCTAATCTGGACAAACTTCTTATGCCAATAGCCAAGACAGTAGTAACAGGTGCCTAGACTAGGCACTACATGACCACTACATGTCTTTTCTCAGTGAACCCCCATGAACCATATGATAGCTTCCAGTTTCACCATTTTACAGGTAAGAAATCTGATTCTGTGTTCCACAAGTACTGTATGAGTTAATCTGGAAGAGCTAAAAGCAGTGTCTTTATTCCAGGCAGCTGGACAGATGCTCACTGAAGAATAAACATGTCATCAATTTTAACACATTTCTGAAAACTAAAGAAAAAAGAAAAGAAATTTGGACTTCAGGGAGTAAAAGTAACTGACCCAAGGATACAAAATTTATAGAAAACTGAAACTCAGATTAGTCTGACTACCAAGTCCTGTGTTTGAGCAAGATTCCCCCACTGGCATAAATCAAACATGCCTGAAAAGTCTCCAACACAATGGTCAGCTGTCTCAGCAGTTTTATCCATGCTCCTGGCTATGTCTGCCCCAGCTGTGAAAAGCAGTGGCACATAGTAAGTCCTCACAGTATAGACTGAATCCTTGACCAGTTGGCAAAAGATTTCAAGTGTACATTCCTAGAGAGCCAAGTTGGTGACTTACCCACTGGGGTTCCTAGTGCTTAGTGTGGGACCTGTTCATACCAGCAGCTGCTAAACCGACTGGCTCGTAAACCTGATTTTCATCTCTTGTGTACCAGACCTCCCAGCTGCCTGATGGAAACTTACATAGAGCCATCTAGCCCATCCTTGAAACTCTGTCCAAAACAGCTCAAAAGTTACATTTTTAAGGTACTGAGAAACAGACTGAAGACAGAGGAAGTGACTCATCTATTATTCCTCTTTCTTGTACCACTATTGACATCTGCCACTTTGTACTGACTATAAACTCCTTCAGAGAGGGTCCACATTTGCAGAGACCTCACTATCCCACACTGTTCTTCAAAAGACAGTGAGCAGCTTCTACATGTAGCAGTGTATCAGCAATTACCATGTTCTGTCATCTCAGTGTCTCTTCACCATCGAGCATCATCACACCAATACCACACTCAAAAACTCAGTTATCTTCCACACCCTCTGCTCAGGTTTGTCTACTTATAAACCAGAATGCTCTATTAACTCCCTATGCAGAGTAAAATACTCAATATAGGTCCTGGCCATGTGGTGTTGGTGTTAGAGTGAGCACAGCTGCCTTCCACAGAGAATACACAGTGCCTATCAAAGAGTGCTGAATATTGACTGTGATTTTAGTTGTACGCATTATCTTCCCTGTCACCTCTCCCTTCATACATACATAGCTAGTAAGAATATTTCCAGAAAAGTACAAAAAATACCAACTTGGTTTATTGGATAAAAACAGTGGTAAAATGGACATAAAGCCAAAACTTAGAACAGGACATTTTCACATCCTTCTCCTACTCAAAACTGCACCTCCCATCAGCTAGGGTTAAGGTGTTAGGGAGCTAAAGCTCCCCAAACCCTCACTCTTCACCAGCCCTAGAACTAAGACCTGCATAGAACCCTGGAGAGGAGGACATCAGAGTCAACCTGAGTTCTGTCTACCCCTTCACCTCTAAGTCTCTGGGTTAGAAGGAAGCAGGGAAGAAATGGGGCCAAAAGGACTGGGGACTGGCCTCTAGGGCCCACTGCCCACAAACTATCCTCCCCATCTCACTCCTAATAGGCAGTCATTAGGCAATGGGGGAGAGGAAGGAAAAGGGGTAGACAGTTCTAGAACCACATGTGATCTCCAAATCCCTCCCCAGAGTTAGGAAAAGTCCTGGAGAGTGGCCAGCCTAGGACTGAGAGAGCCACACCTCTTCTTTTCCACCCAACCAATAGGTGAAAAGGAAACCCTTGGGACACAACATCCCAAGCTGCTCTTAAATCTCCACATCGCTCTCTTTGTCATTGTCATGGTCTCCATCGTAGAATTCATTGGGTGCCTCTGGCCTGCAAAGCAAGGGGAAAAAGATCAGGAGCTGATTCTCTAGGGTCCCCTGTTCTCCCCGCACCCCTCCGGGGCCATTTCTCAGGCTTTCTCCATCAGGGAACCATTTCTCTCGGTTGGTAGAGACGATTGCAAGGCATCCATCCATTTGCATTTTTAATAAACATTTGGAGACTATTCTGTGCCAGACACTGTCACAAGACTTAGCATGCAGTAGGGAATCAACCAGATAGGTTGATTTCTATCTATCTGCTTTCTGTCTATCCTCAAAGAGCTCACCTAACAAATGAAACCACACTTAACAAAGCAAATAAATATGAAAACTTCAGCTATAAATATGAAAACATTCATAACAATGGAGACTGTTATGAATAAAATGAAACAAGGTGATATGACTAAGAGGGGTAGGAGGAATGGGGTAAATTTCACATAGGATTATTAGGGAAGGCTGTTCTAAGAAGAGAAGACCTGAGAAGACGCTAGCCTGGCAAAAGCCTCAGGAAGACTGTTCCAAGCCTCATATGTGGAGAGAAATGGAGGTATTCCAGTAAGGCAAGGAGGTCAGGATGGTGGGAAGTAAATGCAAGAAGGAGTAGTTACAAAAAAAATCAGAAGCCAGGTGTGATGGTGCATGCCTGTAATCCCAGCATTTGTGAGGCTGAGGCAGGAGGATCACTGTAAGTTTGAGGCCAGCCCAAGGCTACAAAGTGAGTTCAAGGCCTGAACTACATAGGGAAACCTTCTCAAAAAAAAAAAAAAAAACAGGTAAGATCATGAACATAATAGGCAAGAATCAGGTAAGGACCAGCACATAGGACATTGTTTCCTTTTTTCTTACTTTAGTGTATGGGACTTTTTAAGGCACAGTCAGGAACTTGGGTTTTCTTCTAAGTGCGAGGAAAAGGAAAGTTTTAAGCAGAGGATTGATAAATGATAAACTTGATGTGAAAGCAGCACAGGGCCCAGTAAAATATTCAATCCTGGTTTCTTTCTTTTTTGAAAAACTATCTTTTTAGAGAATTGAGAAAGTCATCAAGAGAAACTGAGGAACTAAGCCACGTAAGGCCCAGTCCACTTGGTGAGCCATAGGTCAGTTATCTCCATATGCATCAAGGTTAAGGGTATGAAGTCAGACACTCGGCTTTGAATCTCAAGCTGAAACTTAACAAGCTAGCTGTACGGCACTATGAAAGTTACTTAAGCTGAGCACAAGATTTGTTCTCTGATAATGAGGATGTGAGCCACTTCTTAACACTGTCTGATAGCGAACTAATACGCATATTGTGATATAAAGCACTTAGTACAGAGTTTGGTGCTCGGCAAACCCACAAAAGTGATAACTCTTCTTGTTAGTATTCTGTAAGTCATATGCAACCCAGAGCATAAGCATCAAAGAACAAGAACTCAGTGGGTGATTTGATTGGTCCCGCCCTGAGGTAGGCGCGGGAACAGGAAGAGGCCTAAGGCTTCTGCTAGCTGCTTAAAGGGTGTAAGGTGATGCAAAGACCATGCCCAGTCTGGAACTACAGATGAAAAGGGCAAACCTTGACAAAAGGAAAAACAGATTTTGCCAAACCAAATCAGCTGATAAAAATCAATTATCCGAAGTCAAGGTTTTTTGTTTTTGGTTTTTTGAGGGTTGCATTATGTATAGACCTAAACTATGCAGCTCGGGCTATCCTCACTCAATTAGCCTGCCTCCACCTCTTGAGTGCTGGGATAACAGGCATGAGCCACCATGCTTGAGCAGAAGTTGAGTTTAGAGATCTGGAGAGGTTGAGAGGAGTGTTCAAAGAGGAGGCCCTAGGCCAGATGTTTAGATTGCTTCTCACCCAGACCAGCTATAAGGAAAGCTGGAGAGGTCTCAAGGGTCAGAACACTAGAGTCCAGGTACAGAGGAGAAACATGGAGGAAAAACCTATGCAAAGCACTATCCACGTGGAGGCTTGAACTTAACACCCAGAAGCATTTTTTGAAAGGGACTAAGAAACCCATCAGACTCTGCAGCGGAGTCAACTTCAGCCTCTATTAGTGCAGCAGAGCAGGCCTGGCTGTCCTGCAGGTGTCCCAGTGGTGTCATCCTCAAGCACACAAGAAAATCTATTCCCACTAAATACATCTGTTTCTGCACTTCTGGGTTCTTTTGTCTGTTTCCTTCATTTTTCAGAAAAGCTCATTTGAGGTGAAGATTTTTTAAAAAAAGTATCCTGTATCTTTCCTTTAATTCTATAAATATTTCAGTAGGTATGCCAGTTTTTTCTGAAAAGAAAAAAAAAAAAAAAAAACCCACAATACAATTTTCAAATCTGAAAAAAGGAGCAGAGCAAACAAATCATAGCCTTAGAGAACAGTATGTGGGCAGCGACCTGTCCAGCTTAAGACCTGGAGGGGCTGAGTAAAAATCTGACAAGAATGTAAGCTTCTACAAACTTTTTTGAAAGGCAATTTAGCAGCAAGTATAAAAAATTTTACTGCATAGCAACAATTCTAGGAATCTGACCACTCTAACAAATATGTGAAGATACATATGAGGGGGTTCATTGCCACATTCCTCATTACTGTAACAGCAAAAAAAAAAGAAGAAAGAATATAAATGTTCACCATTGTTAAATTATGCTATATCTACACACAAGAATATTACACAGCCAGTAAAATACTGAAGCAGATATATATGTATGTAAGTATAAAGATACAATGTCTTATTTAAAAACACAGATATAAATTGTAGATGACACATAATGCTTCTACTTGTATTAACAAGTATTAAAAACCACACAAACAATAAATCTGCAAATAAGTGTATGTTTCTGTTTACATGTAGTTCAGGCTGGCCTTATACTCATTATGTAGCCCAGGCTGGTCTTAACTTCCAGTGATCTCCCACCTCAACTTCCCAAGTGCTGGGATTACAGGCATGTGCCACTGTGCTTGGCATTAGTATACTTGTAACTACAAAAAAAGGTCTGTTTGAAAAGATACAAGCAAAACTACATAGCATTTACTTCTGGGGACTAAGTCTGGGATTATGCAAGCACACTTAACATTTTGATGCTCCGTATAATTTTTACAATATGTATTATCTTTGTCATTAAAATTATAAAAAAAAAAAAAAAAGGAAATCGTAACTGCTTAAAGGAGACCAGTAAGCTACTGCCTTCTAATTTACTTTCTCCTTCATAACCCGTCCCAGGGAGCTCAGTGGATGCTTCTGCTCTCAAAGCCTTTGCCCCAGACCTGCTGTAGTTCTCCTCAGGACCCCTTTCCTCTGCATCAGCCTCATCCGTCCTGTCATACGTCAGGAGGTCTGCAGGCACATCATGAATCTGGACGCTAGGTGCATGGTTCAACATCTTCAAGTTTTCAAAGATTGTCTGGCGGATCTGGTCCAGATACTGGTTATAAACGAGGAACAGACAATGAGTACCTCCTAGTGATTCCCAGGGCATGCGCCTGCTTACTGTCTTCTGCCCATCCCACCCTGGTTTTAATCTCTGCAGTGTTTCTAGCTCATATCCTCCATTTGGTAATTATCCCTCCCCCATACACCACGACTGCCTCTGCTTTAACCTGGGCTGCCTCCCAGCTAGTTAAGAGTGGCAATGACAGATCAGAGAACTGTTGTTTCTCCTGCCTCCCACTCACTTCCTGGACCTCTCTCAAACTCCCCCATCCTTGTGCTCAGCTTCCCTGAGCTGCTGACCTGGCGTGAATTCTGATTCTCGATGCGGGTGCTGACATCTGGATGGAGCGTGAAGTCCGGGGCAAAGTACTCGAAGTATTCTTGGGGAGGAGAGGGAATTAGCCAAAAAGTAAGGCTCAGACTGAGAAAGGCAGTCTCCACGACTTTTCAATCTCTTCCTTCCCCATCCAGAACACCTATGTAAGTAGTGCCCAATCTTTTCCCTACTGTGACCCCAGGGGTTTCATCTACAGTATAAAATTCCCTGTTTGCTTTCAAACCAGGTCATTCTGGGACATAGTAAGAGTAGCTTTCTCATGGTTGGGTGTCACAGAGTGATCCTTACCACTATAGGGAAGCTCCTCACTAATGGCCTCTTCCACCAGCAAGGATGTCTCGTAAGTCCTGAAACCAGCAGCAGAGGGGAGTGGGCAGACTGAGTGGGCTGAAGGGCCCACGTGGCCGTGTTTCAGGGAGCCTTTAGCTTGCTGTGCACAGTGAGGGAAGAAGGTCAGCAGCAGTACTCACCAGCAGCGGGCAACATTTCGAACAGTATAGCCACCACCACCAAGCACCAGCAGAGGGATATTAAAGCTCTTGACATATTCAACGCATTCCCTGTTAAAAAGAACCAGAAGAATGGTTCTGGTATACACCTCTAGGTACTGCTTGAAAGGGGTATAAGGGAACTCAATACAATTGTCTTATATCTTGATCTGGACAATGGGATTCATTTGTGCACTTTACTATTTTGTGTCTTAATGAAAATTTTAAAGCACACTGTTGCTTTTGCGCTGCTCAACACTCTCCCTGGCATCCTCAGTGTTATTCAACTACTTTCATAACGTACCAGCCAAGGTGTCAATTCTAAGCTGCAGAATGGAACTGGAATCCCCTACTTCTCTCCATCACCATCTTCTCCACTTAGCCTGGGCACTGTATTTCCTGCCTCGACCACACCAAGGGCTACTAATCCTACCCCCTCCACTCAAACCTTTCGCCACTCAGCAGTTGAAGTCACTTTACTCATTCAATCATATCACTTCTCTGCTTAAAAACCTCCAACAGTTCTTATCATCTTTAGAATATAATTCAAACTTTTCACCAGGCTCTAACTGCTCTGCACAATCTTACCATGGCCAATTTCTATGACCTCACATCAAGATACCTAAAGCTTGCTCCATGGTTCTGCCTGTACTAATTTTATCTCATCTCGTTCATTATATGGGCTCTTTCTGCCTCAGAATCTTTCCCCAGCTCTTCTCAATAGTTCTCTTTGATTCTTTTATGGTTCATGGGTCCCTTCTTTTTAGCTGCTGGGTCTTAGCACCCATTTTATCTCAAAAACCCCTTCTAAATCATGCTAACTAAAGCAGATCCCCCACTGTTTCCCTGTCTCAGCTTTCTTTTTCCCTTCATAGGGTTTATAAGAATCTACTTATATCTCTTGCTTACTTTTCTCTGCTTTCTACACCAAACTATAAACTCTACAGGTACTTTCCCATTTCATTCCCATTACCTATGATAATGCCTAGAATGTAATAGGTGCTTAATGAAAACTTGGAATGAATGAACTTCTAAGGAATCCTGTTCAAGATAGTATCTCTAATTCATATATAATTTGTATCTATTTTTGATTCCCAGTAACAGAGGAGGCCCATTCCCCTATAACCCCCCTCATACCCTTATTTACTGAGCCCCCAAAGCCACTTGAAAAATCTGGGAGAAAAGAAAGTAAGCCTCACCCATGTCCTCGGATGCTGAGGTTGAAACAGCCCAATCGATCACAGCCCAGAGAGTCAGCTCCGCACTGCAAAAAGCAAACCATCAGTCAGCTACAGTGATGTAACTGATCAGAAGATCACAGATGTCTTCCAGTTCCCTCCCGCCACCAACCTAAGGAAGCTTCTCTTCCCTGCTGTCTTCCTCAGCCCCGGCAAGCCCTCCTGAGGAGATACTGACAGGATTACCTGGAGCACAATGCATGTGGGTTGGTAGAAGTCCACCACCTGGTTGATGACTGGTTGGAAAAGATGCTTGTAACCTGGGAGAGGGCCAAAGATGGGTACCTGACACCCCAAGGGGATGGGGAGACAGGAAACAAAAGGGAAAAGGGGGTTGAGAGAGCATGTAGCCCAGGAATGAAGCAACCCAAAGAACCAGACCACTGGTTCTGAGCAGACTGGGGTCCCAGATTGTTGTAAGTGACTGATAAAAGCTAATGACCCACTTCCTGGAAAAATGCACATCCATATGATATGTTGCATACAATTTCCAGGGGGTCATGGTCCCTCTGAAGGCCATTCATCCTTAAGGACACCTGGCCCAACAGTAGACAACAGCAGGCAGAAGAGGTTAATGCAAAGAGAGGAGGGGCAGAACGAGCAGAGAGAAGATGTCAGTACTTACTCTGATCATCAATGCCGTCCCGTAAGGGGACATTGAGACAGTAGTATCGGCCACTCTCTGCTCCAACTTCGTACATGTCACCTGTGGAAAAGTAGGCAGTGGTGGCCATGCATGGGAAGCACCCACAACCCAGCTGCCCCATCTCTGGACCTCTACCACAGACTCTCTAGAAGAGCCACTAACGGTCTTGAAGCTTACATTTGCTCAGCAATGTGTGGGTTTTACTAGAAATTAAATATAGCCTTGTCACTCAGCTATATAACTAGTCCTTTTTTTTGTTGTTGTTGATTTTTTTTTTTTTTTTTTTTTTTTTTTTTGAGACAGTCTCCCTTCCCAGGCTAGCCTTGAGTTCACAATTCTCCGGCCTCAGGCTCCTGAGTGGCTGGGAGTACAGCCATGTGCCACCATGCCCAGCTTCCACAGATAGCTTCTGAGCAATTTTCATGAGCCAAATAGTATACAAGGCACAGGAGTTACAGCAATGAAATCCCAACAAACTGTTGGAGGTGGATACACTGAGGAAGGAGACAAAAGTAAACAAAAACCACAATAAATATGGACAGCAGAGAGTGCTTTAAGAGAAACAGGGTGACATGGCAAAGTAACAGAAAAAGAGGTAACTCCTCTACGTGGAAAGAAAGGCTTACGTGAGGAAGACACACATAGGTCAGTCAGTCATGGTAAAGAGCTGAGGGATGGGAAGGGGACATTTCTATACCTGTGCCAGGAAAGAAGTAATTTCCGTATTTGTGGAAGGACACAGTCATGACCCGGTCAGTGAGGTAGAAGGCTTCCTGAACCCCATCACCATGGTGGATGTCAATATCAATGTAGAGCACCCGAGGATGGTACCTAGGGTGAGGACCGAGCCAGGGTCTGAGGTAGAACAGAACCCTCCTTCCCAGCCCACTTCTCCCAAACTCAGGATCTGTGTCTGCTTTTGGCCAAGGTACCTGAAACCTGACACTACCAGTTCCCAAGGGCAACCTGGGAGCTCCAACCTGGAGACTGGAAGCAGGGAGAGGAGAAGGATGTGCACAGAAGGCTGAAATAGGAGCAGGCAGTAGGGAATGTGCTGCAGCAGGAAGCAGCAGCCTAAGAAAAGCATCGGGCCCTGGGAAATGATGGCGGCCGAAGAGGCACGTCAGGGTCAGAGCCAGGCAAGTCTGAAGGACCTTCTCAGCTAAGAGCCTCGCAAAGACCCCATCTGCTCCTCCAGTACTTACTTCAGCAGCTCCAGGATACCAATCACAATGTCATTGACATAACAGAAGCCAGAGGCCTACAACAAAATAGTGATTTTGAAGAACAATTCCTACACCTATCTGTCCCCTGTTGTCATACTGACCACCCACCCTAGGGTGGCCACTGTTTCCCTATCACCTCCTCACTCACCTCAAACTTCTTGGCATGGTGCAGGCCACCAGCCCAGTTAATGGCAATATCACAGATCTGAAAGACAGAACAGTCCACCCCAGTCCTCCATCTGCTCACCCCAAAGCTGAGGTCCAGCATCCAAGTAATGACCCACAGGGAAAGGGAAAAAGGACTTGGGCTACGTCACCTTGTTGTTTAGCTGCGTTGCTCCTTGCAGAGATGCACCTGTGTAACGGGAGCAGAACTCAAAGAGTCCAGGAAACACAGGGCTGCGGATAGGAGCAGATTGGAATACTCTTGCCTCTGTCCAGCTCCTTCCAACACCTTCCTCCCCACTCAAACTCCTGAAACCTCCATTTCCCAACAGTCCTCTCCCCCCACTTCTAAACACCTGTGCAAATGTAGTCAGCAAACATTTTGGGCCAAACCATGTGCCCTGTGCAAAGCATGGGATGTAGAGTAAAGAAGACTTAACTCGTCAGGGAGACTGTGCCCTCACTGGGGGAGAAGCAAACTGCGTCTAGGTTCTTGAGTAAACAAGGAAAAGGGACTAAGTTTAGACAGAATATGAAGGCTTGGGTTTTTTTTTTTTTTTCTTTCTCTTTTTTAGGGGGAAGTTTGTGACAGGGTCTCTCTATGTGGATTACAGTGGCCTCAAACTCACTACGTAGTCCAGTTGACCTCAAACTCATGGCCATCTTCCTACTTCAGCCTTCTGAATGCTGGGATGACAAGCGTGCACCACCACATCTGGCTTCTATTTTTCTTAAGAGCGTCTCTGTGCATCACATTGCAACACTTCTTTTGTTTGTTTTTTGGTTTTTCTGAGACAGGTCTCACTGTACTCCAGGCTGGCTCTGAACTCATTATGTAGTCCAGTATTATTCAGTATAGTCATACACCTTAAACAAAGAATTCTATTCTCTTTGGTGTTTTTATACAGGCCCCTGCTATGTAATTCAGGCTGATCTTAAACTCTCTACAGTCTTGCATCAGGTGCCTGGCTAAGAACCGCATTCCTATGTAAGTGAAACAGTAATGAGATAACCCATGGAGAACCGTTAGCTCATTGTGTGGCACTATGAGCCATAGTTAACTATAATGATCTGCCTTCCGGACAAAAGGTAGAGGCTTGAAACCAGGCACAAAAGGTTACATAGTGTATGGCTCCATTTATATAACATTCTAGCAAAGGCAAAAAAAAATCAGGACAGACATCAGACGAGTAGTTCCCTGGAGTTAAGGCAGAGAGATGGTATTGACTACAAAAGTATATGAAAGACCTTTGTATGCTCAGGGAAATACTCTGTACCTTGATGCATTCTACCAAACTCTCAGATATGTGACACCAAAAAAAGGTGAAATTTATAGTATGTAAATTATACCTTTATGAATCTAACTTTTTTAAAAAAGGACATGCTTTTAAAAAATCCCTACCTTGCAGCTGGGGATACAGCTCAGCAGCATAAGTGCCTGCCTGGCAAGTGCAAAGTCCTGAGTTCAATTTCTGATCCAAAAAAAAAATCCCTAGGGGCCAAGAATAAGTGCCTGCCTGGCAAGCACAAGGTCATGAGTTTGATTCCTGGTAACAAAAAAAAAAAAAAAAAAAAAAATCCCTAGCTTGAATTTCTTAAGTTCAGTGGTACTGTGTATGCTTAGCTGTGTGAGGCCCTGCATTTGGTCCCCAGCACCAAAACAAAAACCCCAAATCCCTATTTTTAGGTTTCTGAGAAAATATATTTGATTATAAGAAAAAAAATTGTAAGTCATTTCATAGTTTCTCAAAAGGTTTTAAAAGAATTAGTATTTGAAACCTAGAAAACTAAGCAAATGAAAAATAATGCAATTATTAGCTCCAAGAAAACAAAAGTTGTACCTACTATTAGCATTCAGCTCTGTAGTAAATGAATTTTTTAGTTATAATGTAAATGTAGAATGTGGATTGATTTTAAAAATTATAACTATAGGGTATGGTAGCAAATGCCTATAATCCCAGCACTCTGGGAAGCTGAGGGAGGATGACTGTGTCTGGGAAACTTAGTGAGACACTATCCTAAAAAACTTTTTTGGGGGCTGGGATTTAGCTCAGTGGTACAAGTGCCAGATCGTGAGTTCGATCCCTGGTACCAAAAAAAAAAAAAAATTTTTTTTAAATACCAAAAAAAGTGCTACAAGTATACTGCAAAGCCAGTATGGGAAAGGAAACCAGCCAGCGATGGTACGGGAAGACCAAATGCTTATATCCCATACTAGCACCTTAATGGATAGGCTGACAGCACTAAGAAGTAACATAATAGGGCATTATGACTATAAGCCCAGATTCAGAAGCCAAGACTACCTTGGTTAAAACAATTTGATGGGGGGCTGGGGATTTAGCTCAGCAGCATAAGCACCTGCCTTGCAAGCAGGCAGTTGTGAGTTCGATCCCTGGTACCAATAAAAAGTTAAAAAAAAAAAAAACAATTTGATGGGAGCTGGGGATTTAGCTCAGTGGCATAAGTGCCTGCCTTGAATGAAGGCAGTCGTGGGTTCGACCCCTGGTACCGATAAAAAAGGAAAAAGACAAAAAAAAAAAAAAAAAACAATTTGATGGAGAGCCAGGGATTTAGCTCAGCGACATAAGCGCCTGCCTGCCAGGTCTTGAGTTCGATCCCCAGTACTAAAAACAAAAACAAAAAAAAAACCACACAAACAATTGGATTGAACAAGTTTTTTAACTTGTTTATGCCTAAGCATCCCCATCAGTAAAAGGAAACAATAATAAATCCTGCTTCATAGGAGTTGTTGAGATTAAATGAGCAAACAGCTATAAAGCATTTAAAATAGTATCTAATGTGTAGCATTACAGGTAAACAGTAGTAGTAAGTTAGTTTTATTGTTTTGAAACTTCAGCATCAGAAGAAAGGAGCTGAACATGGCCATCACTGGAAAGATGGATTTATGGGTAGGAAGAACAGATCTGAGATTGCTCTTATTTTCCACTAAGAGCCTTGAAGTACAATTTGACTATATTGGATTACTTTAAAAACAAACCAAAATTAATTAAAAGGGAAAAAAGGAAGGAAAATGCTTAATTCTCTTCTGAAATACAATAATAAGCACAAAGTAAATTCACTTCCTAAAGAGGCAAATGATTGTACTACTACTACTTAATCTCAAATACAACTGTAGTTGAAGTTTGACAGGACCACTAAAGCACAAATCGCCAGGGGCAGAATCTTTCCTAAACCAGCATAAAATATCCTCAAGATTCCAGCTGTGGAAGCTGACTCTGCATTCCCAGACCCAGAAAGTGAATTCAGAAATAGCAGCAGAACACTAACAAAAAACAAGCAACCTAAGACAGCATGTGACTCAACACCAAATGAGTACAGCCTCATGCTCAGGACAGAGCTCTGTGTTGGTTAAGAGATGGTCATACCCGTGGCATGGAGGCTAAGAAGGTCTTACTGGGGAACCAAGGGCATTCTGGGAAGGCATCTTTGAAAAAACAAAAGACAACTGGAGATATCTGAACACCAACTGCATATTTGATTTTTTTTTTTCTTTTATTGGTACAGACCGTGTGCCTGAGGTATGGGGATAAAGCTAGGGAGGTGTCCAGTGCTAGCCCAAGGAGCTGGCCTCTGTCCCAGGGCATTGGCTGCTTCTGTTAGCAGAATGTTTCAGGAAAACAGATTAGTGATTTTAAACTGGGGCTCTAAATCTGAACCCTAACAACTTCACTGACCAGTTCTGTGACTCAAAGGTAAATTACCTAGATTACCCTAAACCTCTAAGTAACATCAGGAACCGGACTATCACATCTCATGGTTAATATGAGAATTAAGTAAATGTACCAGCAAGCCTTGGCACACGACCTAGTAGTGAGCACTCAATAAATGAGGGCCATTTTAGGATACTCCACAGGATCTACATGCTGGTTTCAAGAAATAAATTCAATGCCGGGCGTGGTGGTACACTCTGTAAACCCAGCACTTGGGAGGCTGAGGCAGGAGGATCATGGAAAGTTCGAGACCAGCCTTGGCTACAAAGTGAGCCCAAGACTAACCTGAACCACACGGCAAGACCCTGTCTCAAAAAGATAAATAATTCAAGGGACAAAGGGAAAGCCACAGGTAAAAACTCTTGAGATGTCAAACAATTGAAGTATGTGGACTTTGTTTAGGTCTTGATTTAAATATTTAAATAAAGTGTACACACACATATTTATGTATACATTTATATATATAATAAGACAGCTGGGAAGTGATAAAGCCATTTAGCTGAATGCAAAATGGGTTGAAGTGATAAATCAGTGATAACGTGTTCATCACTAACCTTGTTGGAACTTTTGTACACCACTACTTGCACTAGGACCTTAGTGTGAATTTTAAGTTATTTTAGAGACTACAGATTGTTAAGCACAATTTATATGAAGATGTTTCCGTTTGTCTTTATGTATTTTACAAAAAATAGATGATTAAATGTTTTCAAGTTATTTGTATTTTATTTTTATTATGTTCTATTATCGTTTCACTCCCTATGAATGACTGCCAGAAATAGAAAAATTAAATGCTAACCTGATCTTTGAAAAAACAAAAGACAACTGGAGATATCTGAACACCAACTGCATATTTGATTTTTTTTTTTTTTATTGGTACAGTAGATCGAACTCAGGCACTTGTCAGGCAGGTACTTTACACTGCTGAGCTAAATCTCCAGCCCTGTTTATTTGATTTTATGAAGGAATTATTATTAACTTATTATGTATGATTTATTTTTGTGTATGTGTGTGGTTTTTTGAGATAGGGTCTCACTATGTAGTCCAGGCTGGCTTTAAATTCATGGCAATCCTCCTGTCTCAACTTCCCAAGTACTGGGATTGTAGGTGTGCACCACTGTGCTCAGCTGATGATATTTTTAAAAGAGAATTATTTAGAGATACATAATAAAATATTTATGGAAAGCCAGGCATAGTAGTACACATCTGAAAAGATCACTGCAAGCTTGACGCCAATCTGGACTACAAAGTGAGTTTGAACCCAGTCTGGATGACATACTGAACTCAAGGCTACACAGTGAAACTGTCTCAAAAGCCAAAAATTATGAATGAAAATATGTGGTATCTGGGATGATAATCTGACATGAGGCATACAGAAGTACTCTGCTTGTGTATATGTGGGACCATCAATATACACAAACATTTGATATTTTCCTAAATAAAAAGTTTCAATAAGGGGCCAGGGATTTAGCTCAATGGCATAAGCACCTGCCTGGCAAGCGCAAGGTCATGAGTTCAATCCCTGGTACCCTAAAAAAAACTTTCAATAGTGGGGAATATAGCTCAGTGGCACAAGTGCTTGCGTGGCAAGCATATGGCTGTGAGTTCAGTCCCCGCTACTAAAAGTTAAATAAATAAAGTTTCAATAAATTGAGCTGAGTATATGGTAGCTGTAATGGTTATTTTTTTCATGGACATATTAAGAGTAGAGAATAAGCAAAGATCATGGCTGATCTCCTCAGCATTGAACATTGAGTGAGTCCTCTCCATGCAATATAAGCGCGGTATAAACTTGGTCATGTCAAAAGCACTCCCTTACTTTCTGAGACACTTCAGTGAACTGCCTCTATTCTAGAAGGAGAAACTCTGATTAATAACAGGGCAGTTTACTTTTAAAAGGCTCCAGCTATCTCTTTAGCTGCCAATCAAAGTACTCTTTTCTTCATATTCCACATTTCGGGTTTTCTGTAGTCGTCAAATGAGTCACACTCTCTTTTACCACTGATGGCTGACACATGTTGTTGCTACTGCCCACCCTTCAATTACCTTTTAGCTACTTTGTTCCTATGTTTTTTTAAGATTTTAGCTCAATCTTTATTACTTCCTCTATGAAGTCTCCAGCAAAGAACCATAATTCTAGCAAGGGTACACTCTCATAGTCTATGATGTACCTCTTTGAAAGAGGACTTAGCACAGATATAATATGAAAACTGTATTGTTCTTTGTCACTGCATCCCTGCATTTAGCACAGGACCTGGCCCAGAGCAAATAATTAATAAATATGACTTTCCAACATGTAGCCACCCCACTCCCCCACTCATGTAGGCAGGCCACCATAAGACCTCACCAAAGGAACTGGCATCAAAGTGTTTGAAATCAAAAGTCCCAGTCCTCCCCCCCTCACCAGTCATCGCCCACGTTGAAGGCATTAAGGCTCTTGGTGAAGCCTTGCATATTGGTAGGACTGACTCTCTGCAGGAAGTCAATGTAGTCCTCGGAGTGGAAGCGGCACATGTCATGCTGGGAGGCCTGGTATGGCTTGAAGACCTTGGAATGAAGACACAAGATGAAACTAGACAGGAGCAGCCCTATAGGGCTGAGCCACCATCACCAAAGCTGGCCCTGGATATTGTCCAAAACCACATACAACAATCCCCCACCCCCTAAACTTTGTCATTCTATGAAGAAAAGTCATTAAAGAGAGGTCCCTAAAAACCCTAAAGATCCCTAAAGACCACTTCTTCCCACTTCCAACCTATCCTCTCCTATCTTCTGAACTTTGAACCCCAATCTACCTACCTGTTCCCTAGATCCCCTATTTCTATTTATCCCCCTATTGTAGTCTCCTGGGATCTATACTGTCCTCTCTCTTCTGGGTTCTTCATTTTGGAATCAAATACATGGGACATATGACAACTTTCTAATTGAAACCCAAGGTGTTAAACCAAAGATCTGTCATCCTTGGAGTAGGGAGCTTTCATACACCTCTCTGAAAATTGAGGAAGAAGAGCAAGTTTTTCTTCTCCTAGAAAACGCACACCTGGACATACAAGCAATCTTAAGGGATTCAGAGATTCCTGAGATCACTTCAGTTTTTTCTAAAATCAATCTGTTTGTCTGTGCTTTTCAGTACATTCACACTGTTGACTATTCCCCTGGCAATGCATAAGGGTTAGATCTGCTATTATCCCATTTCACAGGTATAAATGCCAAGCAAGGAACAGACAGCATGTGTATATAGAGGAAACAGAAGATTGAGCAGTGATTAAGCAGAACTGTGTAAAGATTCTAAATTGAAAAAGGAATATTCAAGCCGGGCGTGGTGGCTCACGCCTGTAATCCCAGCACTGGGGAGGCTGAGGTGGGAGGATCCTTGCGAGTTCGAGACCAGCTTTGGCTACAACGTGAGCTCAAGGCCAGCCTGAACTGCACAGCAAGACCCCCTCTCAAAAAAAGACAAAAAAAAACAAAAAGGAATATCCAGAACATCTCCCACTCTCCACACGCACATACACATTGCACACAAAGCTGCAGAATTGTCCCTGAAGTTCTAGATCCTCATAGGTAGACAGAAGTGACAGAGGAGAAGGGGTGGGCAATGATCTGTATCACAATCAGATACAGTGACCCAACCCTCTCAACCCTGAGGCCTCTACAAGCTAAACTGCAGAGGGGTGTAGCTCAGAAGTAAAGGCTTGCCTAGTATATGAGGCCCTGGTTTTCTGCACCACAAGATAAATAAATAAGTTTAATTACATGCAGGGAGAGACACAGGCCCACACAAACATAACAGTTGGCCAAGGAGTCAAAGGATAACCGACCAGAGGTGAAAACTCCCACTAACTCAGAGGACGGAAGCCACTCCCAACACTGCACATAGGTAGTGCTCCCGGTGTTTTCCACTTCGCTCCTGACGCCCTAAGGACGGGTTGCATTTGGTGTATTCCGTCCAGTCCACCTATCCCTCCAACAGATTAGGTAACTCGTTCCCAACCCCAAAGCCCAGCAGAGGCGAAGAGACTCACGATCATCTTCTTATAGAGACCATAGTGCAGAACAAGGCTATGGGTCAACGCCAGGCGATGGGGTTTCATAGGGTGCCCAGCTCCTAGGGGTGGGGAGGAGGGAATTCGTCAGTGCCCCCTAGAGTTGCAGCCTTTGCCTCTAAACCTTTACTTCCCAGCCTCTCGCGTACAACCCTGTTCCCTCACCGTAGTGGAAGTTGCCCACGTCGGGGTCGTAGAAATAGGCCACGGTCTTGGCCATGGTGCCAGCAGGAGCAGGCCCCACGCCTCCGCCGCCAGCCGGCCGACAGCCCCAGCCCCAGCCCCACCCCCGGTCTTGCGTGCTGCGCAAGCACGCAGCCAGCCTTTGCGGAACAGCGAGGTTGAGGCCACGCCTCCCAAGCCGCGCCCAGGCCACGCCCCCTGCGGAGTCCCGCCCCTCGCCTCATTTGGCCTCTCTGGTTTCTGGGGCGTGAACAACCGGGCTTGGCGCGGAAGGGTGGCTGAGTCCTGGGATGAGAGGATCATTTCTTTCCAGGCGGGGGTCAAGCCCTCGGGAAGCCGAGCCATCTCGACTAGCCGCTTGCCCCAAGGGGGCGCAGGCCGCGGTCACCCGTCTAGGAAGCTGCAGGGATCCGGCCACGCTGCCCCTGTCAGGGGCAAAAAGCCAGCTTTCCCTAGCTGGCTGGGAAGACTCCGGGCCAGCCGCTCGCCCGGGGTACCTAAGGGCAGGAGCAAAGCCAGGCTTGTCGCATAGACCAGTGGAGGCCACCTCCGCCTGACCTCCTGTCCCCCAGGCGGACCCGGACGCAGCGCCACACATCCCGCCCGCAGGGGGGGCACAGTCACGCGCGCCTCTCACTGGCGCTCACACGCGCGCGGGGTTCGCGCTTTCCTCCCAGCACACCTGCGCTCCGCCCCATAGTCCTGGGCCAGCGACAGGAGAAGGGATTTGAAAATCCAGGACGGCAGCCGAAGCGCCCTCATCTCCTTCCTCTCCCAGGGCCAGTTATCCAGAGCCTGCTGCGTCTCCCAACCAGCCCGCATCCCCCACCATCCTTCCCTCCCCCCGCCTGCCGCGGCACCGGTATCCGCAGCCACAGCCGGGAGCCGGTGAGGTGGCGAAAGGAGGAGGGAGAGGAATCAAGGGATGAGCACCGGGAGGGCATCGGGGGCCCTGAGCCGGACTAGGACGCCCCTGGAGCCAGAATCGGAGCCGGAGCCGGAGCCGGAGCCGGAACCAAAGCACTGGTACCGGGTGGGCCAGGTGATCAGGGTGGGAGGAAAGGAAAAGGTGGGGAGGAATCCGGTAGTCTAGGGAGAGGAGGGGGCTACACAAAGGCCTGCCTCCGTAGAGGAGGTGCGGACGCTGACTCAGGCGCGATTTCTGCACATGCCGCCTGAGAATTTTGTCCCATACCGTGCTGCAGTGACCTTGGAAGGGACTAAAGCGCGGGTCGAGCTGGAAGGGTACCGGTCTGGGCTTTATGGAAGTGGAACCAGAATAGTGGCAGGGGGCTTGCGCAGCCGCCTTCTGCCCTCCAGCCTTGGTCGGTCTTGGCCGACCAGCACCCTTGGCCCGGACAGCTCCCTCATTGGGTAGGGGGTGGGGCCCGAATGCCTGATGGGGATCCTGAAGATCGCTTTTGTACTCCTCCCCCACCCCCACTGCAGCCCCTTAAACCCAGGAGGCGCCCTGGCCCGCGCTCGCCCCCCAGGGCCTCATGTCGGAACCACAGCCTGTCCTGGAGCCGCCCCAACATGGGCTGTACATGCTGTTCCTGCTTGTGCTGGTCTTCTTCCTCATGGGCCTTGTAGGCTTCATGATCTGCCACGTGCTGAAGAAGAAAGGCTACCGCTGTCGCACATCTAGGGCCTCGGAACCTGACGACGCCCAGTGCCAGCCCCGTGAGTGAGGAGCCTGGAACCCTGGCTCAGCCACCTGTTTTCCTTACCCTTCTTCCCACACCTTTTTCTGCCTTCCTGGACAACAGACCCAAGCCAAATCTTGATCCAGCCTGCAAGAAGTCTAGTGATGATTTTTTTCAGTCAGTACGTAGGGTGACACCATCCTGAAACCAAGTCTAGAGAAGGCACCCTGGGCAGGAAGTGCTCACAGATGATAGTGTTGGGCTCCTATTGACTTCCCCATCTTTTCTGGCCCCTGACATGCTGAAGTGCAGCATGATGGCAAATAGGTAAAGGGGTATGTCTTGAGCAGTCAGCCACGGGGGCTGTCGGGTCATGTTCCCACTAAGCTGACTCATTTCCTGCTCCCTTGCCAACCTCTCATCCTTCAGCTGAGGACGATGACGTGAATGAGGACACGGTAGAGAGGATTGTTCGCTGCATCATTCAAAATGAAGGTGAGTACAGGCTGAGCCCTTGCTCCCTCTCTCTGTCTTGCTCTTGTCTTGACCTCCACCTCCACTGACTCCCTCTTTTCCTTCCCCCCTCAGCCAATGCTGAGGCCTTGAAGGAGATGCTGGGGGACAGTGAAGGAGAAGGGACAGTGCAGCTCTCCAGGTGAGCTGGAAACAGGGCCAGCATGACTGAGCTTGCCTTGGAGAGTAGCCTCTCCTCCAGCACAAGCCTCTCCCCAGCATCACTGCACGCTTGGGGTTGGGAGAGGACCAGGCTAGCCACCTTACAGAAAGAAGTTCAGTTTTGCAGTAACCTCTGGTCTTTCAAACCATGTCTCCCATCTAGATAGCAGCAAGCCTAACACTCACCTCTATTGTCTCTCTTTTTAGTTAAGCATTAACCTTTTTGGTTTGTTTTGTTTTTTAGCAAACAGGGCTGAAAGGAAGGTCACATGGTCACTCACATCTTAATACTGAATTTATTAGATAAAGACCAAAGGATGTTGGGACTGAGGGTACATGGGGCTTCTGAGGGTTTAAAGAGCATGCTGAAAGAACAGGAGAACACAGAACTGGAAAGGAAATAGAAATATCATTTCTGTTCCCCTCCTGCCTATGTCCAGCGTGGATGCCACCTCCAGCCTGCAAGATGGAGTCCCCTCCCATCATCACACAGTGCATCTGGGCTCTTCAGCCCCTTGCATCCACTGTACCCGCAGCAAGAGACCCCCACTTGTTCGTCAGGGCCGCTCCAAAGAAGGAAAAAGCCGCCCTCGTGCTGGGGAGACCACTGTATTCTCTGTGGGCAGGTGGGAAAACAATCCTCCAGGGAAAGAAAGTTTGAAGTAAAGACCCCAGTGCTAGGTGCAGTTCCTTCCTTCTGGACTGGGAGCCACATCAAGAATCAGGCTGCACAACATACCCCACAGTCTGAGAAGGCCTCTCCTAACTTAGGCCAAGAAGAAGGGGCCATCAAACCCAGAATCTCTCTGATTGGAGGGGAGGGCCAGGCAGCCTGAGTTGTGGTCCTAAGCCCCAGTGTTCTCTTCCTCACAGGTTCCGGGTGACACACATTGAGAAGCGCTATGGGCTACATGAGCATCGTGATGGTTCCCCCGTGGATAGGAGCTCAGGCTCTGGTGGGGGACAGGACCCAAAGGGTGGTCAGGGCTCTGGGGTCAGCCAGTCCAGGGCAGGAATGCCTGGAATGGAGAGGCTGCCTCCTGAGGAGCCGCAGCCCCAGGCCCTCACCAGTCCCCCAGTGCAAAATGGAGGACTCAGGGACACCAACCTTATCCCTTGTGCACATGAGGGGAACCCTGGAACCTCTGCAGAGCCAACACTGGGGACCAGAGGGAGGGGCCCAAGCCCAAGGCTGCCCAGTCAAAGGGTCAGTGAACAGCCAAGCAAACTGGACACCTCAGATCAACAGGTATGAAGACATGGCAAGGGCTGCACTGGGCTCAGTTTCAATGTGCACTTCTTTGGGGGTCACTGATAATGGCCAAGCTCCTGTTCCTATTGTTGTCACCTCCCCTTTCTCACAGGCATCTCCATCACAGGAAGCAGTGGGTATATGAGGTGAGTCTTCCTGAGCCCCAAGTCAAATGATCTTGTCCCCCAACCTAAATTCCCTAAGCTCATCAATTTTCAGCCCCCTGAACCCCTTGGGTGAAGTACAGTCTCAGCCTGCGCCACAAATGCCTCAGCTGGTGGTGGGGAGTGGGTATGAACTCCAGGGGATAAGGACCTAGGAAAAAGCTGAACGGGACAGAGCCTCAATAAGAAGCAACACTGTTCCCCTTCCTCTCCTCCAAGCCTCTTCCTTCATTGTACTGATGGACTACCAGCGGGCAGGCCAGGGGGTGAGTGGACATGAAGGCCCTCCCCTTCACTGGATGGCACTGCTCCCCAGTTGAGGGACCAGCTCTACTTCTACCTGGAGTTGCATGGTCTCGGCCTGGGGGACCACTGGAAAAGTTATCCACACTCCTGGCCCATACTCTTTTCCACATCCCTTACCTGCCAATAGGCCATTTGGCCTGCCTTCCCCAACACCTCGTTCCACATGCTAGAGTGTGGCAGCTGGGACCAGGCCCCTGCCCTTGGTGGGCCCTGAAGCAATAGCACCTTAGGTATCCTGCCCTCTTGGCACAAGAGGTCCAGGCCCTGCCTTGGCCTTCGTGCCCTTTATTCACTGTCAATAAATCTGCTCAGATCATTACAGCTGTTTTGCATACTGGCTCCAGCTCCTTGTGACTCCCATGGCCTGCTCTTCTCCCGGCCCCAACCCCAGTGGCCCTGGCATCCAGAGTGGGATGGGCCACACAGCCAGAGTAGAGACGGAGATGGGTCAGAGCCATTCAAGACTTTAGAAGGTGATTTTGGGGTATTTCGCCACCCTAGAATGGGGTGATGGCAGAAGACAAAGGGGTAATTCCAGCCCTAAAAATGGCAGGAGCACAATGGAGAAAGGTACTGGGTTCTAGTCCCAGAAAAGGGGAAAGAAGTTTCTCCCCTGGAAGTAAAGGTAGATATCGGGGAGATTCCAGCTTTTGGCTGTGTCGCTCCAGATCATTGAGGGGGTGTCCGAAAGCATGGAGATAGGGGCAGCAGCATCACTGGGGGGCAGTGTTCCCCATAGCTTTCAGGTGAGAGAATCTGGATGGCCAGGATCTGGGGCTTTAGCCGGTGGGGGAGGTGGTGGCCGCATCTGTAGGGAACACATAGTAGTGCCCTAGAGTCCTCCCTCAGGGTATCCCTGTCCATTCCCTCAGGCCAGCAAAGAAAACAGGACCAGTTAGAATAAACCCTTTGCACACAACCTCCAAGATAGGGCCCTTACCGGCCTGAGTCGAGGTACCATTGTGTCCAGGAGTCCAGGGCAGTCCAGGGCTGTGTCTAGAAACAAAACCACAGTCAGGATAGTGACACTCTAGAAGTATTTATTGGACTAACAAATAGTCACCAACCTAAGATATAAACTGCATTAATCCATTCATCTTTAATAAGTATTTATTGGGCAACTGTTATGTGATCATCTTTGATCAAGGTATCAAAAAAGCCAGGTAGAACACACAGCCCTCCTCCTCTTCCAATGCCTCTCAGGAACCCAATCAGGAAACATCAAAAATACAATGGGCTGCGCATGAGGACACAGGTCTATAAATCCCAGCCACACAGAGCCTGAAGCAGGGGGATTGTAAGTTCAGAGCCAGCTTGAGCAACATAGCAAATCCCTGTTTGAAAATAAAAAATAAAAGGGCTGCGAGTGTAATCCCATGGTAGACTGCCCCTGGGTTCAATCCCCAGTGTTGGGGGTGGGTGGGGAGGGGACAAACAAACACAATGAACTAGGGTGCTGGGAATGGTGGTGACTCCAGGAGGGTCAGGCAGAGACTCTGGAGCAGGTGAAAGCAGCAGAAAGTTTTAGTAAAAATGGGCATTCCACGAGGAGAAACGGAGAAGCAGAGCCAGGGAAGTAGTCCAGGGGTAGGATGCCTGCCTAGCAATGGCAAGGTCCTGGGTTCCATCCCTAGCACCACAAAAACAACAACCAAAAATGCCACAAGGGGAAAGGAATACACAAAGCTAGGTATTTGCATGGCCCAGTGACACTAAGAACAAAGGCTAAACTTGGGGAAATGTAGTGAGAAAAGGTAGGTAATTTTAAAAATGATAAAACAGCTACTACTTGCATGCTTCACCGTGCCCCAAGCACAAGCCTATATATCCCATAGGTATCTTTGTAAATTCTTATAACCATCCAATAAAGTTGTACCTTTGACCTCACTTTATAAAGGATATGAAAGGATGACCAGACAGGATAAATATCCCACATCAAGTCACATACCAGGAAGTGGCAGAACAGGAGCTGATCCAGGCCAGCCTACGGACCCTACTGTGAGGTACACTCAGGCTCCACAGGGAAGCAGAGTATGACCTGAGATTCCAGGCTTCCTCCCTGCCATCTCTTATCCTTCCAGGACCCACAATTCTCTCTACTCACCCCCAGGCAGGACAAGTACAGGAGGTCCATCCAAGACAGAGGTGGGTGCAGGAGGGGAGAAACTGGGAGGTGAAGGAGACGGCAGCATCTGGGACCAGGGTGGACACACAGTTATTCCTGGAATGTGGGAAACTTTCACTCTTTTCTTTCTTTTTCTGTTTTTCTGGCCCAACAGTTCTAATTGCTGGCTTTATTAATTATTTGTTGATACACATCATATGATGCACTCTCAGAGACTAGTTTGGCTTTGTTGTTGTCTGATGTGCAGCAGAGCTTGAACACACATGCTAGGCACACTGGGCATGCTATGCCGGCCCGCACTGAGCTGCAGCCCCAGACTTGCTGAGTTAGTTTCTGTGGGTCAGGAATGAGGCTCAGGACTCTACCCCTATTATTTCTAGTCATGATAATGAGCCTGCTAAGGTAGGTATTATCTCCATTTTACACATGAAGAAACAAGCTCAAAGAAGTTAAGAGACTGCCCAAGGTCAAGCAATGGAAATGTGAACTCAGGTCTATCTAACATTAAAGTCTTCCAAACTCCCAGGAATTTTGCCTTGGCTTTCCTTTTTCCTAGCCAAAGGAGATGGAAAGGCCCAAGCCACCCTAGGAAGAAAACCTGGGCCTTACTGGAGTGAGGTAACCATCCAACTCAGAGATAGCTCGGGACCCAAGAGAATGAAGCCTCACCTGTTCAGGGTCAGAGAGTTCAGGGGGGCCAGGGGGCCCAAGCAACTCCTCCACAAGGAGCGAAGGGAAGACGCCAACGTGGCCCCCAAATTCGCCTCGCCAGAACCCATCATCCACTCCATCCTGGGCCCGGGGCAGCAGGCGGATGAGCGCCCCCTCAGGAAAGCTCAGCTCTTCTTCACTTTGGCCAGTGTAGCTGTACAGGGCTCGGGCCAGGAACGCTGTAGAAGCCCAGAAGAAACAGTAAGAAAAGGAATGAGATGGTGGTACCCAAGTAGATTCGTGGTAACCCAAGGCTATAAGCACCTAACAATTTTTCTCCATACTTAGTACCCCTGAACCCAGAACTTTCTTTTCTTACCTGTGGGCTCTGCCCCTGAGGGATTGTCATTGTCCTGGCCACTCTCAGGAATGGAGAGATCCGGGAAGTTGAGATACCGCTCAGGGACAAAGCCTACTTCGCCATGCTGGTTCCGAGCCTGCTCACCCAGCAATGCAAATGGAAATCAGACTCGCCTCAGTAATCCATGGCCCTGGATCTTCTCCATTCAGGCTTTCAGCTTTGTCTGCATGGGTCCTTGGGGGCCATGGAGAAGTCCTCCCACTGCCCCAACCCAAGGTTGGAATCAGGATCCCATACGCACCTTGACCCATTCGTCAGCATCTCCCTCTTCAATGACCTCCAGCCATTCACCCTCCATGATGGTCAACTCATCCTCATGCCCTGCCTAAAAGCCCCACAAGGATGGATTCAGGATTTGGCTGTCCTCTATTGGCCACTCTGAAGTCCCCAGTGCTATTCATACCTGATAGCCAAACACCACATGTGCAGGGCAGGGGAGTGACCTGGTGGCCAGGGTTGGAGGGGCAGGCTCTTCAAAAAGCTCCCCTGTCTCCTCACATTCATCAAAGTCAGAAAGCTCAGCATCCTCAGCCTAGAGAAGGGAGAGGACACATACAACTATGGTGCGGCGGGGCCTCGCTTCTCCACCCTATCCCTAAAGGAGGCCAGGAATCCTCCTCCAAGAAGCACCACCATCTCCCATTGCCAAAACCACCAAGAGCAGAATGATACTAAGTAATACCAACTGAGCGTTTGATATGTGTCCAGCACAATGCCACATTGTTATATTGTTGCATTTATTCTTCATAATACCCCAGATTTACTTTTACAAACCTCATTTTACTTTTAAAGAAACAGGTTCAGAAATGTTATGTCATTTTACAAAAATCACACCGCCAGTAAGTGGAGTGACTGGTACTCAAACCACTTTGCTTCCTGAACTCGAGTTCTGAACCATTCATTATATCACAATAAAAGTTTATTGAGGACTTTCTGTGCCAGAAACTATGCAAATAATTTATATGAATCATGTCGTGTAAGTCTAATAACAGCCCTCCGAGTTGGGTACTGCTCTGAGCCCCATTTTAGAGGGTCTGTCTTCCACTGAAGAGTTTTGCCCTCCTGGATGTGGATGGCTGGGGTTGGAGAAGTGCTCACCGTAGGAGAGAGGTCCCTTTGGGACAGCCGAGCCTCACTGAGCCTTCGTTCCTGCTCCACCTCATCCTGGGCCTGGGTCATAGCTGGCTTCAGCCAGTGCTGCACATCCAGGCCGGCCCCCTGCAGCAGGGCCAGCCGGGCAGCCCCCTTCACCTGGCTCACCTGGCATGAGGAGGAAGGGGGTTGGTGGAGCCTGGCCAGCTGTCGACTCTATTTCCCACCCCACTTCCTCCCATCACGAAGAAGAGTGGGCTGTCAGAAAAAAAGGGATCTCAGTAGCTCTAAGCCCAGGGCTGAGCCTCACCTGTGCTCGCCGGATGCTGTCCTTTACTTCCTGCAGCCGCTGCTCTATGCCCAGAGCCTCTCGCTCTGAAGCCTGCTGCCGCCTCTGCTCTAGGCGCTGCAGCACCTGATGGGGAAGGGGGAGCCAGGTGGAGCGCAGTGGACCTGAACTTATTCTGGGCCCGGTACTTTGCTAGTTAAATCACTTGCATTGTCATTTAATCTTCCCTACAAAGTGGGTGTTGCTATTGGCCACACTTTAGTGATGAGGAAACTGAAGGCCAGAGAGGTGAAGTCACTTTCTTACTCAAGGTTATAGAACTTGAAAGCAACACAAGGTAGTTTGAGTCCAGGTTAGTCTAGCCCCAAATGCTGTGCTCTTAACTACTGTGTTACACTGTTGTTGTTAAAATACCCTTTCCTCCCCTCTTGTCTCCCCAAGGACTCCAGGGATCCCCACTCCTCAGCATTTCTGGTACCCCCAATATCTGCACCCCCACCTCACCCGATGCCCATGGTGCTGGATCTTGTAGTCACGGGCAGCTCGGCTGGTCCAGCGCTGGATCTCCTTCTCTAGGCTGCTCTCCCCAGCTGTGCCTTGTTTCCCCTCTTCCAGAACACACACCTGAATGGGATGAGTGGTTTCTGAGATTGTGCCTCTTCTCCAGTCCCCTCCTCTCTATCTCTCTTTTTTCTTGATCTCCAGGACAGGAACAAAGGGTTGGGGGCACATGCCTATGTCTGTGGACACAGACATACACATAGTGTGGCACAGAGACAGAGTCCTAGGAATGCGATCCCAGGAGATGAACACTGATGGACCGGAGAGGACAGTGCAGGAAAGAGACTGAATGATGAACTAAGGTGTGTCTGTGTATCGTGGTGGGAGGGAGTGAACTGGAATTCTGTCTCCAAGGTTTAAGAGCAGATGAGTTAATAGTGGGTGGGAGGGCTAAATCATAGTTTTGTTTATATTTGGCCATCTTCCAACAATCAGGGAAGTCTCACCTGATCAGCCCCTGCTGGCTGAAACTGCTGAGGTGGGGCAGGTGAAAATGCTCCAGGCTCCTGAAGAAATAGCTTTACATCCTGCTCCCAGTTTACCTGGGGCAGAAAAAGGCATGATCAACCACTCGCCAGCCCCCTCTCCAATCTTGTCCCCAGTATCTCTAGGACAAAAGAGGACAAGGTGCAAAGGAAAGGAGCAGAAGGATCTCTAGGGGAGCTCTCATAGTCCGGCCCTCACCTGGGAGGTGGCCTGCCCCCCGAGACGGGCATGCTCCAGGACCATCTCTGCGGCTTCCAGCTCAGTGCGGCTCAGTAAGGTCAGAGGGTCCCTCAAGTGTTCTGACAACTCGCTGACCAGGGCCTGAAGAGAAATGCCACATACTGATACTAACCTTTTCCCAGGCCCCTACTGTCCAGGGTCTGGGTGAGGGATGGACATGAGGGATGGGAAGGAAGGAAGGGAATAAAACATAATGACTACTTCTGAGGTAGGCCCTCATGCACGTATACTCTTTATCTATTTGTTTATTTTGTAGTGCTCGGGATGGAACCTAGGGCCTTGTATTTGCTGGGCAAGTGCTCTACCACTGAGCTACATACATCCCAACCCCACTATCAGTTTATAAAACACTCTTACACCACTCTCTTCTTTTAAACTTCATTAATGTATAAGGTAGGCAGAACCAGGGTTAACCCTGGTGAGGAATGTGGGGCTCAGAGGGGTTACACGCACTATACCATGCCATGCTCACAGCGAGAATCATAACAAGAACCCAAGTATGTACTTTCTCTTTCCACTCCGAGCAAGCTAGTTTCTAGCATCAGCTAGCCTCAAGGAAACAGGGAAGGAGAGGGTGGCCCTCTCCCTTGTGAGAGGCAGGGGTAATCCGTGTTAGGACTCACTTTGAGCAGGGCTGGCAGTTCCTCCTTGTAGTAGTGGTCAAGGTGGGCATTCGTGGCTACCAAGTTGAGCAGGTATTCATTGCGGGCTGCTCTCAGCTGCTGGGAATACTGGACTGACTGGGCAGAAAGCTAAAGGGTGAGAAAGAGGTGTCAACAAGGAATCTTGGGGCCCAAGGCTAATCCAAGCCAAACCGGCATGGGTTCCCATGTTACTGAATACTCGCTATGTGTTTGGCACTATATAAAAAACCTCACAGACAACTCCTGCTCAACACCTTGTAGTAGAGGCAGTTCAACCCACAATCTGCAGGTCACACGCATCCTTGAACAGCTAATCGTGCGACACCGTAATACTGTAAACTTTTAACTTCATTATGTGGTTTCTATCAGTATTTTTCATGACTCAACTGCATGGTGCTCCAGTGCAGGCAAACAATGGGATGCTGTGTAGGGGACAGTGCGGTGCCCTGCTAACTCCTGCCTCCCGAGCTGGCCACACACGGTCAGCGCATTTGTGAACAACCACTTTCAGAGATGAAGCATACAAAGACTAAAAGTAAACCCGAAGTTTCTGAAGGGCACCTTGAGAACTCACCGAGTTGCCAGCAATTCCCTCAAACCAGCCACTGATGTAACAGTTTCACAAAAACAATTTCAATATCCCACTAGTTTTACATTTATGTTGTCCTATTCTTAAAAAGGAAGTTTTATTACATACATATATAGAGAGAGAGAACTAGGTATCTTATATGCAGCCCAAGACAATTCCTCTTTACTCACTGTGGCCACAGCAAGGTGAAAGATCAGACACTCATGCTCTAGTGGGTTGTATATACATCTAAAATAAAATCTAAACTGTTCCTACCAGTGATTTATCAGGTCCAACATGAGTTGGCTCCCATACCTCTCTTATAATTGCTTGTACCTTTGCTTGTAGTGCTCCAAGCACTTTGGCCTTCTCTCAGCTTCTGGAGTCCCCAAAGTCATTTCTACCTCAGGGCCTTTGCACTCACCATTCCTTCTCCCTGGGATTTTCTTCCCCTGTATCTTTGCAGGGCTGGCTGGCTCCTTCTTGCCATTCAGGATACTTACTCAGAGGGGTCTTAGCTCTAAATTATATCCCTTTGTTGCCCTTCATCATGGCACCTGGTTTTATTTCCATCTACATCTGATTATTTATATACTCTGTCTCCCTCAACCAGGCTGTGAGAGCAAGAACTGCCATAGTCATATTTTTCACTGCATCCCCAGTACAGAGATCTTCAAAAAGTACATAGTAAAGAATGAAGAGGAAAGATATCATTTCCACTGCTAAGATGAAGAAAATGAGGCTTAGAAAAATCAAGTAAGTTAACCACAATCACCCACCTAGCAGGTATGAGATTCTGGACCCAATCTCACTCTCTTATACCCCTGGATTCCAAACCACTGGACTACTCTGCCTCATTCCTGCTTTTTTCCAAACCTTGGTGCTCAGTTTCTGGAGACTGGTCCGAGAGTGGAAGATGCCATGGTCACTTCGATTCAGCCTGTGCAGAAGGAGAGGAAATGGCATCAGGCCGAGCTCAGATGCTTTGGCTCCACGTCCCCACCTCAGGCCTCCTCACCTCCCGTGAGCCCACCTGGCTTTGACATCAGCTGCCTTCTCCTGTGCCAAGGCCCACACGCGCTCCCGCTGCCCATACAGCTTCCGACTTCGGCTCAGCTCCCGGACGGACTGCAGCACCTCAGCCTGCGCCCTCTGGAGGCTCTCTGTTCCCTAGTGATAGGAACACACCGAGTCCTGAACTGGGCCACCTCCACTCCCAAACCAGCTCCTTCACCCATGCACTTAACCATACCTTCCTAAGCACCTGCTCCTTGGCACTCCGCCCTGTGCCCCCTGCTAGGTCACGGAATCGGTCAGACACCTGGAGTCGAGTTTGGCCTCCTGCCACGGTGGCATCCAGCAGGCAGCGCCAGGCAGCAAACACTGTCCTGTCCCTTCCCAGAGAAGGTCTGTGTTGAAGAAGGGAACACTCCACAGCCTCGTGAGACGCCCCCAACGCTGTGGGAGATGAGTGTTTTCCTTCCCCCCTGTCTGGGAGCCCATCAATCGATCAGCCCATTAGCTCAGCCACAAGCTCACTCAAGCTCTCCGCCCTCACCCAGTGTCCTTGCTGGGTCAGCTCCTCTTTCGCTGCTCTGTCAGCTCTACCTGCAGCTCCCATGCCCTGCCCCCTCACCGGCCCTTCATCCCCACGGGTCTCAGGGGCTGAGTGCCCTTCACTGTCAGCCCCTGGGATCCTCTGCCCCCATGAGACCCACCTGCTGTCCATCTCCCCACTCCGCTGCCCTTCCCTCTTCAGGAACGGCCCCGCCAGCTTCTGTAGCGCCTGTTGAGAAAGGCATCACAGGCTGAGTGGGAGAACACAGAACCAGAGTATACCATTCTTTGGATGTAGAAATGTGCTACTTTCTTTGTTAAATGCCTTTTATTTGTTACAATATTTAATCCTTACAATAACCCTACATGTAAGTAAGGTATTGTTGTTGTTTTGAGACAGGGTCTCCATCTGTAGTTCAGGCTGGCCTTGAACTCACTATGTAGCCCACACTGGTATCAGACTTGTAGCGACCCTACTGCCTCAGCCTCCCAGGTGCTGGGATGATAGGCATGCAGTACCACAACCAGCAAATAAGGTTTTTTTCCTTTTCTTTTCTTTTTTTTTTTTTTTTTTTTTTTTGGTTTTTTTCCTTTTTATCGGTATCAGGGACCAAACTCACGACTGCCTGCTTGCAAGGCAGGCGCTTATGCCGCTGAGCTAAATCCCCAACCCATTTTTTTCTTTTCTTTTCTTTTCTTTTTTTTTTTCCCCCGTATGCGGGATCAAACTCACAACTTTGTGCTTGCAGGCAGACACTTGTGCCACTGAGATATATCCCTATCTCCAAATAAGGTTTTATTATCACTCCATTTCACAGAAAAAGAGTGAGGCTGAGAAACGTTAAGTAACTTGTTCAAGGTTACACGGCTAGTAAGTTGCACGACAAAGATTTGACATAAGTTGGCCTGACTCTAGGCACTCATTCCTGACCACAATGGAAGGGTGTACAGGAGGACAGAAAAAGAAAGAAGGCCAGAGGAGCATCCCATACCTGTCCATACTCCCGTTCAATGGCTGCCCTCTGCTTGCTGTAGGACCTGTGGAGATTGTTAAGGAAGGTGGCAAATTACTAGTAGTTGACCATGTTACCCCACCCTCAATGCTCTCTTCCATCTAGGCCTAGGAAGAAGTGGGGGGCCAGTCCACAGTGTGGCTGCCCTCATAGGGAATGGGACTGAAGAGACAGTCCTTGAGATCACCTCAGGCAGCTGCAACACGAGACAGGCTCATCACTGCTCAGAGCCCAGCAGGACCCACCCCAGCCCTGGAGGCCCATCTGTGGGCTCGGAGGAGGTAAGGACTGGTGGGGGCCCGGGTTCGGGTAACCAGCTTTCCAGCAGTAGGTCTAGAAGAGATTCTGCCCTAAGCTCCCCCGTGGGGTTGGGAGTGCGGTGTGGAGCCAAGAGTCTCAGGACCCTCCCCATGTGTTTACATGTATGCATTTCCAGGATCCAGAGACGCAGGCCTAGCACCGGTGAGGGTTGTGCCTGGTAAGCTGGGGGGCTCTCCGCCCTGCCACGCCCCCTCCGGACGCCGGCAGGCGGAGGCTGGGGGAGGAGAGGCGCGCGCCAAGCAGAGGCTGCGGCGGCGTGGGAAGGCCAGGGGTCAGGGGCTACCTGATGTCCTCCAACAGATCCGCCTCCCTCTGCTGCCGAGTCTGAAGGATGCTCAGCTGCTCCAGGAAGCGAAGCTTCACCTCCTGGGCCGGTTTCGCCTATGGGATCGGAGGAGGATGAAGATCCCCGGCGTGGGGACCGAAAAACCCTCCGCAGGGAGCGGCGAGGGGGCGGGGCCGAGGAGGGCTGAGTCGTACCCCGGTTGCTGCTGTATTAGGCTCTGGCCGCTCCCCGCCCCGGTTTCCTGCCCGTTTCCCGCCCCGGGTCAGCGCTCCTTGGGCTCCCTCCGCTCCCCCGGCCCGCCAGGAGTCTCCATTCCCGATCCCATCTCACTTTTCGGGGCGGCGGCTGCATCTCCGCTCTGGCCAAGGCGGCCAGCGACTCGACTCCGGAACTCAAGAAGGCCCGGCCCACGACAGAGCCCCGCCCCTGCTCTGGCCCGGTTCTGCCCTCGCCCCGCCCACGCCGGGTCCGGCACCGCGCAGGGCGCAGAAGCACGGGGGCTGCAGAGAAACTGAGCTCGTGTTATGGCTGCGAATATCCAAGAAGGGCCCGGGCCGCGGGGTGGACGCTGCGTCTGCTGGGAGGTAGGGAGAGCCCTGGGCTTCTGAATGAAGACGCCTAGCTTCTATTTCTAGGGTAGCCACTGATTCAGCCTGTAATTATATCTAGTCATTCATTTACATTTGCATATCTTCAGTCCCAGGACTATGGGTGAGGAATGGCAAGAAACTCAAAAGGTGACCAGGGAAACTGAGTCACGGACACATGAGCGAAGATGCATCTGAGGAAGGGAGACAGGGCTAGTTCCATACCTTTTCCTAATTCCTGTTAAACTGGAAAAGCCAGCGTGAACAGGTTGAGAAAGATGCCTGGAGCCAAGAAGGAACCAGGCCCATAGGAAAAGACAGGTATATCCTGGGCTCCACTGAACATTACCCGATACCAGTGAGGAGCAGGATGCACGTGGGGCCTATGGCACAGAAAGCTTTCAGGAAACTTCAGGTTCTGCTCACCACATCTACCAACCCTGACACTACATTTTCTGAGAATCTTCACATCCTTTCCTCATCCTCCTCACCTATGCCTCCTTAGCCTACATCTGGATCCCTACACCAGTGACATGGCTCAAAACTCCAGATTCGTAAGTACTCAGATTTTTGTTTTTTAACTTTTTATCGGTACCAGGGATCCAACTCACAACCGCCTGCTTGCAAGGCAGGTGCTTATGCTGCTGAGCTAAATCCCCAGCCCCTAGTACTCAGATTTTTAAATCAACCCCTTCAACCCGATCTTCCTCAGGTAATATGTTAAGTGGTAGCACACTCCTTACAGTTAGGAAAGTCAAAATCCAGGAGTTGATGTGCCCTTTCATCTACCCACATATTCCATCCATCAGCAAGTCCTACAGGTTCTATTAAAAGCAAAAACAAACATAAAACCCGAAACCTAAAACATGCTCCTATTGATCCACCTTCTCCAGTTTCCAAGACCACCACTCTAGCCCAAGTCTCCATGATCAGTGTTTGGTCTAATATCTGGTCTCCTTGCTTTCACGTTTCCTCCCACAGCACACTTTACACAGCAGCCAATAATTGATTTCTTTTTATTTTTGAAAGGGAAGTAAGATCTCATCCTTCTCTTGCTTAAAATGCAGTTGCTTCAAAATAAAATCCAAATGCCTGAAATCCAAGTAGAACCCATGACCTACAGGCTGTGACAGGCCCCTGCTGACCTTCCCATTCCCCGGTACTCTTCTCCTACTTGTCACTTACAGGGTCCTCTTTACTGTCCCCCAACAAGCTAACTCCCTTCCCACTGCACAGTATTTGTGCTTTCTTTTTTTTTTTTTTTTTCCTTTTTATCAGTACCGGGGATCGAACTCACACCTGCCTGCTTGTAAGGCAGGCGCTTATGCTGCTGAGCTAAATCCCCAGCCCCTATTTGTGCTCTCTCTGAAGCTCCTTTTCCCAGCACCCCATCTGTCTGGACTCTTGCCCTTGTTTTGGCTCCACACAGAGACCTTCCGTCCCCATCCATCCACCCAGTGTACAGGCTGTCTGCTGTCATTCAAGTTCATCACTTGATTTAGTTTCTTCACAGCACTAAATTCACTTGTTCCTATGTTTGTGTATTTCCTATTTTTTTGTTTCCCCTTTATAGGGGGGCTTCATGAGAACAGGAACTTCATTTGGATGATACTTGAAACATTTGTTGAAAGAATGAATAAAGCAATGGTAGCCAATGGTTAATAAACAGTGACCCACTCTCTTTTTTATTTTTTGGCTCTCCTTACCCCAGTTCTGAAGCCCAATCAATTCCCCCATCCCAGGGCTTCAATGTAGTCCTGAAAAGTAGGGAGTAGGATATGATAGCCTTGAACATCATCCAGGTCTCTGGTTGCAAACTTGTTTTTCTCTAATGCAAGTAAAACCATCCTTTTATTGCAAACTTGTCACATAACTTTTTTTTTTTTTTTTTGTCTTTTTCTTTTTTTTATCGGTACCAGGGATCGAACTCACGACTGCCTGCTTGCAAGGCAGGCGCTTATGCTGCTGAGCTAAACCCCCAGCCCCGACTCCTCACATAACTCTTACATATCAGATACATAAAGCAAGAGTTGCCCTTGTTGAGAGAAAACATGTGGGGTTTACATCCAAGAAACACAGTTTGGTGTTTACTCCTTATTTCAGTGACTTCATGATACAGATAAATGGGCTGAGGCCACCCAGAGGAGCTATGACCTCCCTGACAGCCATGGCTTCTGGGGCCCTCAGACCAGTGCTTCTTCCATAGCTCCACACTGGAGTCTAAAGTCTTTCCAGCAACAGCAAAGGAAGATCCCAGCAGTGTCTGCCATGGTGATAACCTAGGTCCGCCTCTGGATTCCTACCCCCGTGGCTGCTGGTCCCAGAGTCAAGTCAGAGGCTGGCTGGAAGGCAGACCGGAAGTGCAGGGGGCTTGCGGGGGGAAGCCAGGTGTCTGTGTTGCAAGACCATTGGGGCTGGATGACTGGGAAGGGTTTTCTGAACATACAGTGGTCTCTCCCTTCCTCAGAATGAGGTTGTTGAGTTCCTGGAGCAGCTGTTCCTCCAGAGACCCCTGTGCCTGGGGACTGCTTTTTGAAGGGGGGCCTGAAGGGGGCTCAGGTGGCCTCTCCTCCCAGCCTAGGGTGCTTGTCTTGGAGAGAAGGGGTTCATCAAAGGACCTCTGGCTGGGGAGGGGGCTTTCTGTCTTGGCCGTCCATTCCTGTGTGGTTGAGAAGGATGTGGAGATTTCCTTGGCGAGCTCCAGGAAGTCCCCTACCTCCTCATACACCGGCTCCTCATACACAGGGTCCTCCAGCTCCTCTTGTTCTTTCACAGACCCCTGGGGTGATTTCATCGGCTGTACAGGAATGGGGTGGCAGGGGACAGGCATAGTTACTGGATTATTAATCACTAACATTTATTGAGCTCTTCCTCTAGGCCAGACGCTGCAAAATCCTTGGCATGTATGATATCAGAATAACCTTATGCAGTGAGTTTGCTGCAAAAAAAAATCGAACTGGGTTGCAGAGGGGTTAAGTTGCCCAAGATCACACAATGAGGGAGTGAAATTACAGGGCTTGCACCCAGGTGTGTCTTGGCTCCAGCCTGCATTCACTTAACCAGTTTCCTTGTATTTCTGATTCCATGACCACTTTCTCCTTTCCGCATGGCAGCCTACCATCCCTCATTTTCCTCATTCTTTCTGACCTTCTCCCCCCTGCACACCCTAATGGCCTGCATCAGGACAGACACAAAGAGCATATCCAGGACTCAGGCGGCACAGAGGAACACAGGACGGGCAGGCACAATACTCACAAAGAACATGGACAGGGTCCTCCGGTTGTGTAGTCGGCGCTGGGCACATGTAGGATGGCGAGGAAAGGAGGGAAAAACATACAGTGAGGCCTGGCAACAGGAGGTGGGGGTGAAGAGCGGGGGCACAGAGAAGGTGGACAGGAAGGTCACTGTGAGCAGAGGGAGCACCACAACGACAGTCACACTACTCCCTCCTGGAGTTTGACAAGGGTGAGGACACGGACCAGGTGGGGGATAAAGCTGGTTGGGGCGCAGTGGGGGAGTCTCACCAGGGTCTGATTGGCAGAGAGGAGGGTGGCTCCACTGTCATCTCCACGGATGGGCAGCAAGGGCATAGTGCCAAACTTCTGACGGGCGAGGTCAGAGGAGGAACGGCGTCTTAAAACCACTGGCTGGTGGTCATCATGCTAGTAAGAGATTGAGAGGTTGGCACCAGTGGGCTTGGGAGGTAGTGAGGGGTACAGCTGGGCCCCAGAGAGATCCAAGACCCAAGCCTCAGCCTTGTCCTTCCCTCACCTGAGCTTTAAGGATGCTGGTAGTCCAATCCCACATCTCATCCTCATCATTGCAAGCCAAGTAGCTGCAGGTGATGAGAATGGAATCAGTGGTGAAAAGGGGTCACAGCTCTAGAGAAGAAGGAATGTGAGAAAGGCAGGGTACTAGGCTGGGCCAGAGGAGCCAGGCTAGGCGGTACTCACAGTAGCATCTTCTCCAGCATCAATGTGAAGCCCCACCTGAGATGCAAAGGGGACCAGTGATGGGGTGACCATAAACGGCCAGAGGGATGATGGCAGGAAGGCCCTAGAATACAGGCTGGGAAGAAAACTCACGGCGTTGGAGGCTTTAACTTCTTGCGGATTCCTAGGTAGACTTTGGCACTCTCCAGAGGCCACTCCCGTTCTGGTTTAGAGCTCTGAGAACATGAACAGAGGCAACAAGATTGAGAGGGGAGAGAGGGCTAGTGAGGCCGAGAAGCTCTGGAAGCATCTGGGAATGTGATCACAAGGCAGCAGGCAAGGTCCAGGAAGCTGAAGGTTAGTGAGAGCACGTGAGGCCAAGTCAGAGACGGGTACCCTGCGGCTCCTGCCACACGGCTTCTCTGAATCCCCCTCCTCCAGCCCGAAGGCCTCACCCGCTTCTCTTTGAGCAGCAGCAGACAGCGGTTCCGCAGCAGAAAGAACCTCTCCTGGAAGCGGTTTCCCAGCAAGCGGGGCGGCTCTTCCCGACATCGCAGCAGCCCCACGCGAGGGCTCTCCCGCCGCACACCTAGGCACAGGCAGACAGTGCTGGGGGAGGGCTTAGGGGAGCCTGGAGGGAGTGCTGGGGTAAGGAAAGCTCACCTGTGAAAAGGCAGCCAGCCTGGGCCAGGGAGACCTTCTTCAGGAGCAGAGAGGCTGAGCAGGGCTCTGAAAGCTGGCACCACTGCAAGGCCTGCTCTAAGACTCTTTCTTTGGGGTGCAGTGGCCTCTCTGAAAAGGCAAGGTGGGGACAGTGTCAATCAGAATATCCACTCAAAGCTTGGAGTGCTCAGCTCATCTCCTAAAAGTCATGCATCTATGCAGCTATTCAACTATCCAGCTTCAGGCATTCACTTTAGCACCAGCTCTACGCCAGGCGCTGTACTGGCCCATGGGTGCGGCAGTGAGCGGGATAGATGGCACATGTCTTCACAAAGCCACAGCCTAGAGGGGAAGCGCCCACCAACAGGTAGACAAGTAAAACAGTTATAAACCAGTAATGGCTTTGAAAGAAACAGCGGAGAGTGGAGCCAGGGATTTAGCTCAGCGGCATAAGCACCTGCCTGGCAAGCGCGAGGTCGGGAGTTCAATCCCCGGTACCAAAAAAAAAAAAAAAGAAAAAGAAACCACAGAGAGTTAACAGGAGAACAATTGAGATAGGCTAGCCAGGCAAGGCCTTTCAGAAGTTGCATTTAGAGATGAGACTCAGTGATCTTCAGGATTAGGAGGAGAAAGCCATGCTAATATCATGCAATATCTCACATGGGAAAATATAAACATAAAGGCCTTGAGCCTTGGAGAAGGAAACAACCAATGTGGCTGCAGCAAAGAGGACAAATTAGAGAATGGGTGACATTAAGAAATGAGGTCTGAGAAATAAGCAGGGGCCAGGCATTCAGGGTCTATGTGTCAGGATAAAGACTGGAATTTTAAGTTCAATGGGAAACCACTGATCAGTTTTAATCAGAGGAATGGCATGGTCTGATTTACACTTGGAACACTCATCTGGCGCTATGCAGAAAAGCATAGGGGGCCAAGAAAACACTAACCGACTATTCCCTTTCTGGGGCCAAGTACATAGACAGAGATAGAGATACACAAATATATAGATTTTTTGAGACAGGGTCTCAAAATTTTGCAAGCAAGACAGGGTCTTGCTTGGTAATTCAGGCTGGACTTGACCTCACTATGTAGCCCAGGTTGGCCTCAAACTCATGGCATTGCCTCAACCTTCCGAGTTATAGGATAACAGACATGCATCATCAAGCATAACTCTGGGGTTACATATTTTATTGGTTAATTTTGGGAGGCTGAAAGGGTATGGTGACTTCAACTAGAGATGCAGTAACAGAGATGGACAGAGGTATAGATTTGAATAGAACTAAGAAGACCAGTTGGTATGTTGGGTGTAAAGCTTACAAAACTGGATAAATTGCAGGGCCATTTACAAGTGGGGGGGAGCACAAAAATAGCTTGAGTTTTTTGTTAGGGAAAGGGTCTAGGAATCAAGATTGGTCTTACATATTTTAAGTTTGAGATATTCATGAGAAACGGAGGTATCAAGTCGGTAGTTGGATACATGAATCTGGAGCCAGAGCAGAGGTCTGGGCCAGAGATAACAAATATAGGTGTCAGCTTATTAGTGGCATTTAAAACCATGGGGGACTGGAGCACACCCAAGGAGAACTATAGATAGAGAAGAAGAGACGGCCCAAGGGCCCTCTAACCCTTGGAGTCTTAGCAAAGAGTGAAGAGAAGCCTCCTTGAAGGTAGCAGAGAAGTCACTGAGAGAAGAGGAATGAGGAATGTGTGGGTCCACTATTTGCAAGTCCCCTCACATGGATGAGTGGATGATAGGGCGTCCACTGTATTTGGTAGCATGGAAATCATTAATGATCTGGACCACACAACCACAAAACACACACATACATACACATACAAGGTCTTACTCACCAAGCTCCCCATGCTCGAGGACCTCAAACATCACCCACAGGTCTGTCCCTGCTGCTGTCCCTCGCATCTCCAGTACCTGGTTAGTCACCTCCTCAGCAGTCAGTGTTGGAGACACCTAAGATCCACACAAGAGCAGAAGACCCAGCTGGTCGAGCTTTACTCCTGTCCCCCGGCAGCCCCTTCTCTCCTCCTCAGTCTCCTCCCCACTGACCTTCAGGGTGACGCAGCTGTCCGGGACCTGCTGCTCTATATAAACCTCCATGATTAGGTCTCCAGCCTGGGACAGCTGAGGGAGGGATAAAGGAGGACACAAGAGGATGTGAAAACTCTGAGGTGAGAGGATTCCTCACGGAGCCTCCTACACACCAACCTCCACAAAGGTCTCCCCCAACCTTCACCCCAATACCACTAGGGCTTGTCACAGGGAAAACTCCAGGAGTGGGTGCTACCCAAGGCCGTGTTTGAGATGACAGGTTCCCAGAAAGACTTCCTGGCTTCCAACTCTGCCATTCACTACAGCATCCCCTTGACTAAGTGACTCTAAGCCTCCGTTCTTTATTGAAATAAAGTGAAACTATCTACTCCAAGGAGTTGCAGGATGCAAAAATCAGACTGGAAGTCCTGAGCTGACACTTGCCATTGTAGGTGTTATTCTCATCCAGTCTGACTTGGCTTTGTTTTTTCTTTTCTTTTTTTTAGGTACTAAGAACTGAACTCAAGGCCTTTACACTGACCTACGTTCCCAACCCTTTTTATTTTTTACTTTAAGACAGGGTCTCATTAAGTTGCTAAATTGTCCAGGTGACACTTGCACTTTCCATCCTAGTGCCTCCATCTCCCAGAGTGCTGGGTGTGTAACTACACTGGTGTGACTTTACCAACAGTTCCTTGAATCTTTTACACTCAGAAGTAAGGTGCAACAGCCACCATTTTTATAATGAAGAATGGCCTGGTGCGGTGGTACATGTCTGTAATGATGCACTGCGAGTTCAAAGCCAGTCTGGGCTACACAGTGAGTTCGAGGCCAGCTTGTACTACATAGCAAGACCCTGTCTCACACACACACACAAAAGTGGGGGGGGGGGGGGATAATGAAAAATGCTTGTGGTAGAATGAATGAAGCAAACCCTAAACAAATTAACTGCTCAACACGTCCCTCCTTCTCCTGTCTCCCAAAGAGCTGAGGGTCTGTGTGCAGAAGGACAGGCTGAAAAGGAAACTTTAGCTTCCCATCCTGATGTCCCCTATTCCCACGCAGGAGCCTAAGGTCAGGGCAGATTACCTGCACATCCTTCCAGGTGGTGATAAGATTGACCTCCAAGTCAATCTGAGCTACCTGGTCAGAATCAATCTGTGAAAGAGCCAAAAGTTGATGGGGGCTGCTGGGAAAGGAAGGCAGCAGGGAAAACCTCCAGGCTAAGGAGGACCTGGATAGAACAAGGGTGGGAGGTCCAATGAGCTAAAAGCTTATGGGGTGTGGAGAAGCAGAGTGACATTATAAGAGAAAAAGGCCAGGACTCTGGGAGTGGTTGCTGGGCTGGGCAAGGGCTTGTTGGGTCTCTGAGTCCCACCGGAGCAGGAGACAGAGGTTACAGGTCAGGGCCCAGGAAAGCCTTACATCAAAGACCGAGACGTAGCCATCAATGAGCTCCTGCAGCACCCGCACCTCATGCTCCCCCCGTCCATCTGTCTGAAACACACTGGGTGCAAACAGCAGGGCCAGGTTCCGGGTGCACATTTGGTTCAGGGCTGCACACTTCTGCACCCTGTAGAGAGGTATCAGGGTCACAAGGAATGCAGTTTGTATTCCCTCCTTGGCCAATACATACACTAATTCTGCACTCTTTAAGCCCATACACTATGGTAAGCCCTAGGCTAAGCACTTGGGATACAATAGTAAGACACAAACAGCTGAAGTTTTGGAGAATAGCGGAGCCAGTGAGGCAGGGGTGATTGGAAATCCAGTAGATGCCAGAAAACTTTTTCTTTTTTTGGTACTGGGGATCGAACTCATGACCTCATGCTTGCCAGGCAGACACCTGTGCTGCTGAGCTAAACCCCCAGCCTGGTGCCAGCAAACTTTTTATGTAAAGGGAACACACTAAATATTTTAGCCTCTCAAGCCACATAGAATATATACAAAGGGATAGATGTGGCTTTATACTTTATGTGCAATACTTTATTTACCAACACAGACAGTAGCCTGTAGTTGGCCAACCTCTGTAATTTGTATAACCAGAACAATATGGCCATGGATTCACTCTGATTCACTCAAAGGTCTCTCTCGCTGACAGACTGATAAAGTCTGTATCTTGCTCATCTTTGTATTTCTTATATCTAACCCTTACCTGACACAATAATAAAACAGGAAAATACTGATGGCTAACAGTTTCTAAAGACTTACTATATATATGTCAGAGGCTGTACTTAGAACTTTGCATGGATTATCTCCTTTAACTGTCAGCCTGTGAAGTGGGTATTATTCATTACATCATCTTTCTTTTAGAATCAAGGAAGTTGAGAATCAAAGAGAACAAATAACTCATTCAAAATCACACTGTTAGGCTGATGGAGCCAAATTAAAGGCTAGGTCTGCCTGACCCCAAAATCCATTCTCTGAACCTTTCTGCTATGACAGCTTCACTTATCAGCTGTCTGTGGGGTAAATGAATAAATGAATGGCATTGTGGAGTTGGCTGAGGTGGTGAAAGGTCCAGGAGGAGCCTGCCGAGGCCTGGCATACTAACCGATACAGATGCCCAATGAGGGTGGCCAGTGTGCGGCGGTTGACCTGAGGCAGGCAGCCAATGACTTCTTTGTATTTCTCTAGGCGCTGGTTCTTCTGGGGTAGCTCTGGTGATAGAATGGAGGAGGGTGGAAGGGGATCTAAGAAGGGAGAGCAAGGGGCTGGAATGCAGGAAGGGACTTCTAGAGACACAAACGTAGGCTGAGTGTATCTCAGTCCTGTCCCCAACCCGCCAGGCGTATCTACCAGAGTGGCGAAGTTTAGAGAAGGAAGCTGTATACTCCCACAAAAGAGCCTCGTGGGTTCAGGCAGGGGAGGTGGAAATCCCCAGTTGGGCCTTGGATCACAGGGATGTGGGAATACCGGCAGCCTCCCTCCAGCGAGGCAGCAACCGAGCAGAGGTCACAGGGTCATCCAGCTCTCGGAAGAAGCGTTTCAGTGTGTCAGTGACATCCTCCACAAAGTGCTCCCCTGGCCGAAGCTTCACCGACCGTGCATCCCGCCGGAACTCAGCCAGGAGTTTCAGGCTGCGGGCCCGAGCACCCCCTTTCCGATACACCCCTTCCAGCTGGAGCCCTGGAAACAGCCAGCAGTGTCTACCTTCACCCTTGGGTAAAGACAGCACCACCCACCCAGCAGGCAGTTGTGGCCCTCCTCCATATTATAAGTGGCTATGGGAAGAGGGGGTCACGGAGGAAGAATCCTGTGCTTCTGTGGTCTCGATTCTCAGCTCCCTACAGAAGTCTTCCTTCTCAGTTCTTTTGTGACTTCACAAACATGCACCACATCCCCATCACACCTTCCTCTTACTATCTTTATATTCACTGATAAATTGAAACATTGTTTTCCGGTACTATGGGTTGAATCCAGGGCCTTCACACAGAGTTACATCCTCAGCACTTTTTAAAAAATGTTTAATGTTGAGACAGTCTTGCTAAGTTGCTAAACTGCTCCAGCTGGGCTCAAATTTGCAGTCCTCCTGCCTCAGCCTCCCAGAGTACTAGAATAACAGATATATACCACTTCACCATATATATTTTTAAGTGGTGTTCTGAAATCAGATTATGGTTGATCTGTATTATCCACAGACTCTGTATTTCAGCATTTACCTGTTCACTAAATTTTTCTTAACCAGGTTTACCTGTAACACTAAAACCAGAAAATTGTCCCTCGCTATCCAGGGGGATATTTTATCATCTCTGCAAAATAGCAAAATCTACTACTACAATAACAATGGTATAGAAATAGTTATCATACCTGGTTATAAAATGATGGTAAGAAAAAGTCTGTACATGTTTGGTACAGATTCAGAATTTTCAAATACTTTCTGCCTTCTGTTGACTGAATAGGCGGATGCAGATGCATAGATACAGAGGACCAACCATACCTCGGTGCTCCCACAGTCATGTGTGAAGGGGACACTGAGGCCATCTGCCCTCTACATGTTCTAAGCTAAGGTCTCGGATGGTATAAAAAACGTCCTTTTACAATGTATTCAGACATTTTGCTGCTTTTCATGTCACTGTTTAAAACTGGCCCCCAAGTATACCGCTGAAATGCCGCCTGGTATTCCAAAGTGCGAGCATACTGTGATTACCTCATGGGAAACATCATGTGTGTAGCTAAGCCAAGCACAGTTACGTCACTCCCGGTGTGGAGTTCAATGTAACGCATCAGCTATATATGTTTCAGAAGGTGTTTTTATACAGAAAAATATACAAAACAAGGTTTCGTATTGATTGGCTGATGTCCATGCAGTCACCAGAAGTTCAGAGGAACCTAAACCTGTATCTCCCTTGGGGCAATGATTCAGTATTCACTAATTAAGTGTTTGCAGTGGCTTCACAGAACTTAACGCCTGCAAATAATGCCAGCTGATTATATTTGTTTTCTTATTACCTGTCTCTCCCACTTAGTCTGTGTGCTTTGTGGGGCTTCCCCTGTTCACTGCCAAGTCTGGCACATGGCAGCAGCTCAACAAATTTCTGTCGAAGGAACGCGGTGGAGCGGAGACACCGCAGGAGGGGTATGACCGCCCACACTTTCTCCAAGCCTCGCTGGGCCTTGGATTGAGTCCCTTTGAACACAGGGTGGCTAAGAAGAGGAGGGGGGCAGTGAGAGAGTGCAGGAAGTCACTGAGTAGGCCATGTGCGTGCGTGCATGCGTATGAGACTGAACACAGGGTCCTTAGTTTTCCGTGAATTTTTCTTCTCAAAAGTCCAACCTCCTAAAGTGTATTCACAGGGGAGGTAAGATTTGTCTTTGGACCTTACTTAAACTGGAGAACACAACAGAGGTCAAAACCCCACAAAGAATTCTGAGGATCACTTGCCCAGCTGACTTTTTGGGCCTATTAAATCGCTCACCCAGATTAATTCTGCTCAGATCTTCAGGGATCTTGCTGCCTGCACAGCTAGGCTCTTGCTTCAGTGCTGCCCTCTCCCGGTCCTCCGGGGCTCTGCATCCCTAGTCACACAGCGTGCTGCTGCCACCCACTGCGCCCAGGCCCCAGAGCCAGCTGCCTCTGAACGCCTATTACCTGCCCGGCCCTGCGCCAACGGCTGCCATGCATCACCTCACTGTTATGAATTGCCTAGAAATTAAGGACTGTGAATCTCACTTTACAGGTGAAGGAACTGAGGCTCAGAAAAACTTTGCTAGAATCAGATGGCCAGTTGGTGTTAGTATCTGGAAGCAAAGGTCTTTCAGGTAACTCCCCCGAGCTCTTATTGAACCTTTGCTCTCCACTCCTTCCCCCTCACTGGCTCAGTGTCAACCAGTGGCTACTCACCATGCTGGGTGACAAAACTGATGCAGGCATCCACGATGATGGGAATGTCACCTCGGCTCATCTGCTGCTCCTGCAGCCCTGTGCCTCCCCCTCCGGCAGCCCCCTTGATGGCTGTGTTCCACGCTGAGAAGTCCAGCCGACCCTCTCCCTGCAGATACAGGGTTCTGGGACCCGAAGAGGCCCGTGTCAGAGCCAGCTCAAGGGTCCGCTCACTGAGAGGCTCCTAAACCACCAGCAGGGGGCAGCAACATCCAACCCAGATGTTCCTAACCGAGGGAAGCAATTTGAGGAAGGAAGCACCATCCTGACTCAACGAGGTGGAGACAGTGGGCTGGGCTCCAGAAAGCGGGGTAGGGGCCCAGGGACAAACACAGGAGCAACATTTACCTTCCGGTGTCCACCAGGACCAAGTGCTCCTTTTTGTCTGGAGTGCCAGCTGCAGAGACCACACCTGGGAGGAGAATCATTGGAAATTACCATTCTTGGTATCTTTAGCATAGTGACAACTATTTATTACATGCTTAACGTCCAGAGGGGTAAGACTAAGAGCTCCATTAAATCCTTTACGTTAAACCGGGCATGGTGGTGCATGCTTCCAATTCCAGCCCTCGGGAGGCTGAGGAAGGACAACTGCCACAGGTTCTTGAGCGCCGGGCCGGCATGAGCTACATAATGAGTTCAAGGCCAGTCTGAACTACGTAGGGAGACACTGTCCCTAAATATATACATACATATCCTAAGAGTTAGGTCCTGTTATCTTCATTCATAGCACAGGTGATACTGCTGCTGTTATAGCTCAGAGAGTTTATGTCACTTGCCTCACATTGTTTGCTATAAAATAATAAAGCAGAGCTTGAATACCCATTTCTTGTCTCCAAAGTCCTAAAACATTATTCTATCTCCTTTCTCTTTTAGCAGTAAAGACAGCAGAGGATACACAGATCCCTCTCCCAGTTCCCAGAGCGAGTGACTCCAAATAGTAACAATAGTATTTATATAACCTTTATTGAGTACTTACAAGATGCATTCTGCAAGGCTCTGTGAACAAGTGTTTATATGGATTACCTTATTGGAACTTCACTGTGATCCTCTTAAGAAGGTTTTATTATTGTGCCCATTTTAAACATGAGGAAACTAAGGCACAGAGAAATTAAGTAACTTATCCAAGGGTGCAAAACCAGGAAGTGTTGGAGGTAAGGTCTCAATACGTAGTTTAACTTCAGAGTCTGTGCCTAAAGCCACTCCATTCTACTGTTTCCCATCATAACTCTCAAATTAAAAAAAGGCCCATTCCCACCCACCCTTAAATCTTGTCCCCACCCCTGCTCACTGATCTCTTGCAGCCGCCGTAAATGCACCATGTCCTCAGAGGCTGGTGGCCCAGGGCCCGGTGCTGGACACAGAAACAGATGGTCACCACGAAGCAGGCCAAACGCTGACAGCCAGTCATCAGGGGCCAGGGTTGTGTGGGACGGGGAACGCAGCCACAGGCGGCCCAGCCGCTGCAGCCCAGGCCCCAGCAGCTGGTGACAGCTCAGCGGGGAGAACCACTGTGGAGACAGGGGAGAAGAGGGTGGGGTGAGTCAAGGGTGAGGGAGAGAAATGAGTGAGCAGATGGGGAAAAGCCAAGGAGACATGAAGAGAAAGCAAAAAGGACGATGGTAGGATGGGGAGAGGGCGAAGGGGGAGCCATGAAATGGGTGGAGATCGATGGGGAGAACTTGAGTTTAATTCACTTCAGCCAACACAGAGAAGTCCCTGTGTGGTACCCCTGAGCCCTTAACTGAGATGCAGGGATAAGAAAGATGAGTAGCCAAAATGCTCTGCCTGGAAAGTGATGCTGCCTTGGACAATCCCGCCTGCCCGGGGACTTGCTCCCCACAGAGCAGGTAGTGTTTGAGGCTCACTTAAAGCAGTGCTTCTCAGACTAACTGTGATAAAGGACCAGGGCCTCTCTCTCCCTCTTTCTTTCTTTCTTTCTTTCTTTCTTTTGAACCTTTTGCTTCTTTCTTTTTTTAAAATTCCAACTTTCCGGGGCTGGAAATTTAGCTCAGCAGCATAAGCACCTGCCTTGCAAGCAGGCGGTCGTGAGTTCGATCCCTGTGAGTTCGATCCCTGGTACCGATAAAAATGAAAAAAGACAAAAAAAAAAAAAAAAAAAAAAAAAAAAAAACAACAAAAAAACCCCACAAAATTCCAACTTTCCACTAATCGATACTTTTGTTAAAAACAGTAAAAATGAATTGCCAAAAAAATTGACACGAAAAGAACAGAGACATGTAAGCCTTTAACTTGTATAATTAGATTCAACACATGAAATTACTCTGCCAAACTGTGATAAAACATTTGAGATGCTTGCTCTCAAATTCTTGCTTTTCCTGTCATGGACCATGACAGATAATCTGGGGACCAGCATGGTGTGACAGTCTTCACATTGCACTCTGGACAGCCCTGCTTTAAAGGATGAGATAGACTTCTGGGAAGTGTAGGTCAGAGAAGAGGAGACCCAGACCTGGCCGAGGAGGCCACAACAGAGTCCCAAATGAACATGGAGACTGTTAGCGTGAGGAGTCACAGGAGGGCTGGCAGGTGCGGTTGGGAGCCTGAGGAGTTGGACATTTCCCACAGAAGAGTGTCAGCAGCTACAAAGGTGGGCCGGGGAGGCCAGAAGGTGGACCTTAGGCTTTGGAGATGAGGCATCCCTGGTGAGCTTCATGAGGGTCGCAGCTAGGAGACTCCAGGCAGAGGAAGGTGATTAAGGGGTTAAGGAGTAACTGCGGGCTGCACACGACTTTCTTAGAAGCTGTCAGGCAGGGAAAGAAGGTACCAGGGTGAAAAGTTGAAGGCAGAGCAGAATTTAAGGAAAAGCCATTTTAGGATGGGAAAGATTGTCGTCATCATCATCATCACCACCACTATTATTATTTCAACACCCACGTGTGGAGGACTTGCTGTGTGAGGCCTCACATGCCACTTAATCCTCATCCGTAGGGGCTGAGTCTTTCACACCCACTCTGCAGACATGAAAAACTCCCACAGTGCAGCGTTGTGGGACTCAAATCCCAGGATGTCTGACTCCGGAGCCTGAGCCTTTAATTCTGAGAATTGAGTCCAGGATAAAGAGATTGGTTTGTCTAGGAAGAGAAAAGCTGGGGCACAGGAAAGTGGCTTTGGGTCAGGGTTTGCTGCAGAACTGGAGGGCAGAGGTAAGGTAACAGGTGTCAGGGGCGGCTTCTTAGGCGTCAGGGGCAGCTTCTCTCTGGGAAGAGGTTGGGGCACAGTGAGAAATGGGCACGAACTTTGCAGACAGAGGCTTGGCTTTTAGTTCTGTGTTCTGCTATGCCTAGCTCTTTGATTAAGTGACTGCATAACCTCTAACACTTAGTTTTTTATGTATAAAATATTAACGATATCTCTAAGGGTTGCTGTGGAAATTAAATGAGATATTAAAAGGGCAGCGTTCAAGACAGGGCCTGGAACAGAATAAATGCTCAGTCAATTTCAGCTGTTTATCAAGGGAAGTGGTGGGAGCAGCCATGGGAATATGAGACGCAGGGTGGCAGCAGGTGGGGACAGGTAGTCCATGGGCTGCTGGTAGGAGTCTCAGCTACCTCACCTTGCCCACAGCACTGATCCAGGCCTCCAGGCTATCTGCTCCCTCTGTGCAAAAATGTTGGATCCTCCCTCCAGTGAGGATGAGCTCAAAGGAAAAAGGGAACCTGCAGAGGAGGCGAGGAAGGGAGGAGAATGAGGGTCCACTGGGCACTGTCAGGCGAGAGACTGGGAAGAGCAGGAAAGGCTGTTACCTGTCAAGGTCGCTTTGGTCAATGGGTGGGGGGCTCACACCCAGACACACAACATCCTGGGGCTGGATGAGGCTGACGGGTTCGGGGCTGCTTTCTGATGCAGACATTTCCAGGGCTGCTCCCAAAACGCACCACAGCCGAGGAGGAGCTAAGTGGAAGAGAGATGGTATGGTTGAGGGGCAGCAAATCTAAGTACCCACTGTCCCATTCCGTCCACTGGATAGTATTATTGGATACCCTGATCTTGTGAGAGGGGTATTATACTCAGTCCTACTTTGCAGATAGGGGAGCAGAGGTTCAGTTTGAGTAGCTTCTCTGCGCCAGATGGTCTGACCTCGGAGAAAAGGCTTGTAACTGTCATTCAGTGCTGCCACCTGTCACATCGCTCTTCCACCTCTCGCACACTGGAACGCCTCAGCACAAGGCTCCACTGTCCCACCCTGGCCCGGTCATCCCTGGTGCTGTACAGTGCATGCCCACTTTCTTCCCACCACGTCCCATCCCTTGGCAATCTCTCACCATCTCGGCCCCTCCGAGGGGGTGGGGGTCCAGCCTTGTTGCTGATGGGACCGCAGTACAGGAAGCCGCTGTAGGTGGCAGGCACCACCACCTCATTGTACACACCAGGGTCTGCAAGGGGAAAAGGTGGTTGGGCGAAGTTAATGCAGTGGAAATCCAATGACAGAAGACCCTCGCCCGAATTCTACTGGCAGGTGGCAAAGTAAAACCTAGTGGGACAAGTGCCCTCACTACCCAGATTGGACAAGGGTGGCAGGGGGTGAGGAGACAGGAAACTTCTAGCCCGGTGCTTGTCCATTATCCTTCCCCACCAGTCAGCCAAGGCAGTCAATTCTGGGTGGAGCCCTCAGAGCACGTGGCATCCTGTGACCAAGACCTGACCAATGGGGATTGGCATCATGAAGGTGACCATTCCTTTGGACAGGTGATCAGACTGTCCTGAGGTGGCTGAGACCTGATCTATGGGTTGACCGTGTCAGGAAGGGAACACAACCAGAACCTGCTGTATCCCGACTCACCCTGATCACCTCAGACGCCACAGTTGTCTGGTGACCTTGGGAAATAGACTCTGGGGGATCTGAGAGGTTGGGGAACATGTTGAGCTACTGGGACCAATGGATAATGGGTTAATTGGGGCCCCCTGGAAAAACCAAAGCAAGGATTAGGGCAGAGAATCTAGGTGGGGAGAGAGGGAGACATGGAGGAATAACCTGGGGGTAGAAGGCTGGGCAAGCTACCATCGAGGGCTGAGGGGGACCAGGGCTCCTCGACCTCAGAGGCCTCCACGTAGAGGAGCTGGGTCATGTTCTTCAGCAGGTTGGGTCCTGCCACAGCTGCACACAGTGCCTGCAGGGAGGGAAGAGCCTCTGTTGCCCCAAGCCCAACTGGAGAGCTCTGATTACCAAAACCTTTTCCCACTACCCATTCTATTTAGAGACTGCTTGTCCCTCCCTCCACCATCCCCAAACTGTCTCTCCTACCTGGAGAAGCTGGTTATGATCTGGATACTGAGAGTGGGGCTTCCGAAAAAGACCCAGCCGGTACTTTCGGGAGATGAATTCTCCCCGGGAGCCAGGGGTGGAGTCTGGATGCAGCCCCTCACCTGGGGGTAGGGCTGCTGCCCAGAAGCGGTTGGCACGATCATTGCCCAGGACAATGAACAACTGTAGGATGCCAATGGGCAAAGACAAGTGATCAGAGCTCAGAGATTTCCAGACATCCCCATACTAATCCTGTCCTCCAAGCTGCTCCCCACCCTTTTTTGTCTTTTTCTTTTCAATATTTGATTGAACTTAGGACCTTCACACTAATTACATCCCCATTCCTTTTGTAAAAAAAAATATATATATATTCTTAATTCTACAAGATTCTTGCTAAATTACTAAATTGTGCAGGCTGGGCTTGAATTATGATTCTTCTGCCACAGCCTTTGGGGTGCCGGGATTACAGGTATGTACTGCCGTGCCCAGCTGACCTTCTCCTGGATGCGCCCCTTCCTCCTCACCTGCACTATCTCATTACTCCAGACACTCGTGTCCAGCTTCAGGCTCTGTACCTTGGAGATCCCAGAACCCAGGGCCCGGTGCTGACCTGTTGGGGGTAACGGACGTGCAGCATTGGTACCCAGAACCTTGCTGGCCCGGGTCTCTGCCCTGTCCCCATTTGGGATTGGGACTCCAGCCCTCACCTGCACACTGCTTGCAGATGACCACCCCCAGGTTGACAGCAGCCCAGTCTGGGCGGGAGGCTCCGCAGTCTGCACAGTGCCGGTTTGCCCGATTTGACCAGATCTTCTCAGCCACCTCGTAGTCAGACAGGGTCTCGGTTACTGCTTCCTGCAGAGCGGTCGCCCAGCTCTGCCGAGCCCCCCCAGACTCTGCTGTGAAGCTGAGGGGTGGACAGCCAGTCCGTGGGCATGGACCTCCCCCCATGTCCCATCCCTGTGACCATTCCTGTAGGAGCTGCCAAAGGCCACATGTGGGCCAGCCCAGGCCCTCTGGACAGCTTAACCCTGGCCCACTGGACTCCCTTCAGGGCATGTCCACTGACAGCCTGTTGAAGTGGCCTCCAGCCTTTGCACCCTTGTCCCTCTCCCCACCTTGCCTCCCGTAAGTCCAGGCCCCACCTGAAGCAGCGATGGGGTGTGAGCAGGTCGAAGCTTCGGCTCTTAGTCTCCCGGACACTGCAGCCTTGCAGTTCGATGAAGCAGATCCCGATACCCAAAGAGAAGGCCTGGTGGAGTCGGAGGTGTGCTCTGTGAGGTGCCAGAATGGGCCAGGCCGGCTCCTCAGCCCTCCCTGCCCTCCTTACCTGCTCACTCTTGTACAGGGCCAGCTCTCCAGGGTTCAAGGCAGCAAACACCTTAGCCTTGTGTCCACGTAGCTCTAGCATGCCAGTAAGGAGGGGTCGGGGCGGATGGGGTGGCCGTGGGTGGCCCAGGAGGCGCTGCTCCTTCAGGCAGGATTGCAATGTGGAGCACCACATGTCCCGCTGAGCTGGAGGGGAACAGGAAGCGGTCAGCGAGCCGCGGGCTCACACAGCCCGTGTTCACCTGCCCTGCCACAGCGAGCCCCACCTGCCCTGACTCACCCTCACTCTCTGTGCGGAACACGAACACTCTCTGGACCGTGATGACCTGGAACTTATTGTCCTTGCTGCTGCGGGTCATCTCAATAGCAGTCAGGGGGATCACACCCTTGGGGAAGGGGTCCTGGAGAAAGAGGGAGCACGTGACCACTGGAGACAGGGAACTGAGCCCCTTGCACTGAGTCCTTGGTCTACCACCAGCTTTCATGAGATTTGAACTCAATCCACAAACAGTTATTACAGGTGCTAAGTCAGATACCTTGAATAATGACCACAGCAGGTGGTGGCCATCTCTCTACCAAGGGCTTTCCTCCTGCCACCCCTGCCACCCCTGAACCTTTCTCAGCCCTCCCTCTCCTACTTTCTAGTCTCCCCATAGCATCTCCAGTCCCCCACCTTGTCACTGCCAAAGTACATCAGACTCCTTCCATTGAACTGCACAAAGCGTCTCTGGAAGACATAGTTTCTGAAAAAGGAAAAAGCCAAGATCAGTTAGTCCTTGGGGTTGCATGGGGTAGGGAGATCATAAGGCCTGGAAGCACCCGGGACCTGCTGTCCCCCATCTCTCAGCCCCCCTCTTCCTCCTCCCATTTCCAGCAGCCTCACCCCTGAGGCGAGAGTTTGTCTAGCCAGCCACTGAGCAGGGGCATGGGGCGGTCTGCAGTAGAGGAGAAGCTGGCGTAGGGTGAAATGAGGTCATCACTGGTCTCCTCTGTGTCCAAGGTGGGTAGTGAGAGGATGGAGTCCCCAGGTAGCTCAAGGCTGGCATAGCCAGCATCTTCCCGTGCCTCCAGATCCTGCCTGCTGAGCCTTGTGGGAGCCAGGACACGGACAGACACAGATTAGACCCAGTATCCTGGACACATCTTTCTAATTTCCCTTCCCCACCCAGAGCACCGTTAGACTGCTCAGCAGATATAAGATCTGCTTTTCAAATAGGGAATAGAAAGGTTGGGAGCCCCAAGGATTATCATGAGCTTCTTCCCAGAGCATTCTTGGAGTTTGTTTGCTTGAACTTGAATTTTAATGGGAAAATTTTAGTTCCTCTTTTCTGACCTTAGCATTACTTGAGTGGAAAAACCAGAGAAAGACTCAGTAGATGGCTTCCTGCCATAGCTGCTTACAGCTAATGAACCTGTCTTATTCTTTCCATCAAGCTCTTGACCTTCTCTCCTTGACCAAGGTTCCATAAGCTCTTGCTGGGGGATACACATTGCCTAACTGGTCACCTTCTTTTATTCCTGTCTTCCTTTCCACAATCCTTTGTCCCATAGCCACTAATGCTCTTTTTAAAAATGCAAATAAGATCCTTTAACTCTCCTGCATGCAACCCTCAATAACACCCCATTTGCACTTAGCTAAACCCACATTCCGTACCATGGGCTGTAAAGACTTCAGCGCAAGATCCACAGCCCATGAGACCCACGACCCACGGCCCACAGGTACTCCCTGACCCCCTGTTGTAACCTCCTCACCCTTTCTTGCTACAGCCCTGTCTCACTCTCCTTCCTTCTTCAGTCTGCCCATTCTGTTCCCTCTGCCTGTAGCACACACTTCCTTCCCTGCGCCTTTTTTTCTCATCATCCAGGTCTCTGTTTATGTCATGTTCTTAGAGAGGATTTCCTTAACCTCCCTGAATAAAGTCCTCTGTTATTTCAGTGGTTCTCAACCTCAATAGCACAACAACACTTAAACTTCTAAAAACAGCAGCACATGGGCTTCATAACAGACACTTAAATTTGAATTTCTGGGAGTGGCGCCCAGGCACCTGCAGTTTTAAAAATTCTCTAGGCTCTGGAACAGCTAAGGTTGAGAACCACACCTCTGCCTGATTTGTTTCCGATTTCGCTGAGCAGTTAAAGCAATCAGACAAGAACCCCCACGGGTTCCCCGTGCCATGTCTACCCAGCTTCATGCACACACTCAGCCTTCCTCCTGTGATGGAGATAAACACCTCTTCCTCAAGCCAGACCCTCCCCTGTGCGCCTATTTCTCACACCTACAAAGACATCACTCCACACTTTCTTTCTCTTCCTACATAGCTAATTGTCCCTCCCCACCAGGTTGCCCTCATTCACTTGTAAATGTACATGACTTTACAGCCTATAAAAAAAAATCCGCTTGGCTCCACTTCCTCTTGTCAACAATCATTCCAACTCTGCAAAAACTCAGTGTTCTCCATGCATCTCTAACTCCTCTCCTTTCGCTCTCTTGGAAACTCACTCTGATCAGGCTTTCACTCCACTACTCCAAGACTGCCCTTGTCAAGGTCCCACACTTTCCACACTACCAGTTCCAGAAGCCAATTCCCCTGAGGGCAGCACATCTGGCCTCTCCTTCCTCCTCTTGCACTTTCTTCCTTTAGCTCTTAGGATGTCACATTCTCCTGGTTTTCTTTTTCCTTCACTAGCTTCTTCTTTCTTGGTCCTTTTACGGATTCTTCCTCTTCTCCCTGACCTCTCCATATGAGAAGTTATCAGGCTCTGACCTTGGTTCTTGCCTCGGCCATTCCCAGTTAGGTACTAGGATCTGAATCTCCAGACTCAACTGGAATAGCCAATGGCCTACTGATCAGCTCTTTCTGAATGTACAATACACACCTCCAAATCAATACATTCAAAAGAACTCCTGATCTAACCTCCACCCCCCGTCTACCTCACGCACAGTCTTGTTTCAGATCATGACAACTCCATGAACTTTCAATTGTTCAAAACAGTGCTGTCTGTTAGAAACCAATGAAAACCAATATGTAATTTTAAACTTTCTAGAAATGACATTAAAAAATTAAAATAAATAGGTGCAATTAATTTTTGTAGGAAATTTTATTTAACCCAATATATCTAAATGTCAACATTTTTGCATAAAAGTTACCAAGATCATTTATATCCGTATCCATTATACTCATCCAGTATGTTTGGGTTGTTGTTACTAAGTCTTCAGAATCTTGTAGGTGTTTTACACATATAGCACATCTCAATAGAGACTGACCACATTTCATATGCTTAGAAGTCACTCGTGGTTAGTGGTTGCAGGTGGAGGCCAGCACAGGCTCAGACTTCACAGAGTCAGTTCTCAACTGCTGCTTTCTTTTCACGCCCCAAGTTAATTCAACACTTTAGCTCATATGTAGCCACTTCTCACCATCTCAACTCCCATCTCTCATCTAGATTACTGCAGGACTTCCTCACTGATCTCTCTGGTCCCTCCTACACACCCTTCCCAACACAGCAACCAGAGGGAGCCTTTCAAGAAAGTTAACGACCCTCTAAGGGCTCCCCATTTCACTTAGAGTAACAGTGGAAGTTCCCATAGGGCACAACCCAAGAGGGCCCCTTTTTAACCACTCTGACATTATCTCTCCCACTCCACACAGCCCACCCATCTGTGCCAGCCAGGCTGCTGCCCCCTGTGTGCCTCCCTGCCTCACCCTAGGCCTTCCTTGAGTCCTCTATTCTGCCCACTCCTCCTGCCTGGGATAGTTTTTCCCTAAAAATCTGCATGGCTAACTCGTTCAAGGTTTTGCTCAAATATCATCTTCTTAATGTCCCAATAACCCTTAATGAAAAACTGCAACTCCCTTAGCTCTTACCCTGCTCTTAATTTTTCCATAGTACCTGTATCACTTAATACACTACAGTATCCTATATAACTTACTACGTCTATTAACTATCTCCCCCACAAGGGCAGGGACTGCTATGTATGCAGATCTATCCTAAGCATCAACATCTGGCATGAAACAGTTACTCAGCAAGTATCTGCTGAATGAAAGAAGAAATAGTTCTTGTAGATTTCAATTACATATTTGTTTTCTATTTGTTTTGTGTCCTACCTACCCGGATGGTCACTCCTTGCCTGGGGCAGCACTGGGTCTGTTATAGTCATCCTGTACCTTCAGTGCTTGGCTGGTATGCAGTAGACACTCAGTGCATATTCAACAATTTGTACACATGGTCCCTGCCAACTCAACTGCTCCCCAAGCTGCCTTTTGTGGCCCCATCAGGGCCCTACTGAGCACTTACCTGTGTTCAGCCCTGTCCTGACAGACACCTCTGCTCTCTCTTCTGTCAGTAGTGCCTGAGCCCCCCACAGGCTGGACACCATAGTACAGGCAACCAGGATCCATGATGTGCACTGGCAGGGGCAGAGGGCAAGGAGGGAGGAAAGAGATCAGGTCTGAAGTGGCGGCAGGCATGATCCCTCTCTGAGCCCAGGATAACCCACATACCTGTGCCTGTTGTGGGCCTTGGGGTAGGGGTGGGGGCAGGGGTAGGAGCAGCTGTCTGGGAGCTGTCTGGACCCCTGAAGAGGAAGGTGTATTGGTTACTGAGGGAGAGAGGAGAAAGAACTCCCCTCATGCCTGTTTCCCCAATCCCCCTTCCATCCCAACATCAGATCCCTAGGGAACCAATCCTACTCACTTGTCCTGAGCTGCCTGTGCCCCGCCTCTTAAGTCCAGGCCAAAGTAGATGGCATTGGGCATCATCTCAATGGTATTTGAGGTCGACAGCTGCTCAGAGGAAGATGTAGGAAGAAGAGGTGGACTGGAACTGGACTTTGAGCTTCTGGACACTTCTGGTGCCCAGAAGGTTGGGCTCATCGCAGGCCTCTGGGGGGTAGTAGGGCCACCAAGCCCACTAAACACTGTCCTGGGCTTGGGTATGGGCTTGGAGGGCTGGGGTTGGGGTTCTGGGCTGGGGGTTGGTTCCATGGTACTATCCGACTTGAGATCCAGGGAGTCCTCCACAGTGCCTGCCTGCAGCAGGCGCAGAATGCGTTTCCGGTGCCCTGTGGCGCTGATGCCCAACTGCCTCAGTTCCTCGTGGCCCAGGCCTTGGGCTGCACCTGCTGTAGCCAGGCCATGCTGCCGGAACGTGTCTGCATACTGCTCCAGATGTACCTTGGCCAGCCACACAGTGATGTCCAGGTCCTGAGGAGCAGCCATGGGGGCTCAGGCCATTGCTGGGGGAGGGGGAGGGGGAGGGAGGGCTCAGGCTGAGATTCCCCCTCCCTGCCACAGAGTCTGAGGCCTGGACAGAGTGCACCAGCCTCCAGTATTCCTCCAAAGGAAACGACCACAGGCCTGTGATCTAGAGGCAGAGCCTTCCAAGAGTATTAGAGAAAGAACCTTCTGGTTACAAGACAGTCTCTTGTGCAGCTGAGAAAAGCCCAGGGAGGGGGAAGGGGCTTGCCCAAGGTTCACAGCAAGTGGTGCTACTGTGCCCCCAAGTGCCAACCATCCTTGGGTGTGGGTCAAAACTCTGCCCCCCAGCCAGGGCTGGGGATTTAGCTTAGTGGCACAAGTGCTTGCCTGGCAAGTGCAAGGTCATGAGTTCGATCCCCAGTACCAAAAAAAAAAAAAAAAAACAACCACTCTGCCCCTGTCTACTGCATATTCAACTGAGTAAGCTTGGGGTGAGGTGATAGCACCCTGCTGAGCAGGGAGGAGTGAGAAGCTGGGGAGGCAGGGCCACTGATGTAGTGAGATCCAGCTGTGGTCTAAGGAGGGGAAAGGGGCAGGCTACCATGCAGAAGACACCACTCCCACCCGTTTCCAGAGCCAAGCCGAGGTCCAGGCTGGACATCTCAATCCCGGTCATTTCCAGTGCCCCCTCCCCTTCCACCTATTGTCTCTTCTCAGACTTCCTTCCTGTCCCTTTAGCCTGGCCACCCCCACATCCTGCCTGCTTTGGCCAAGCTGCTCAGAGGGCCCTAACCAGTCCCAGTGCGTGGGGTCGGGGCCTGAACAGACGCCACTTAGGGAATAGGGGTGGGTGGAGAACTGGGCCAGAGAAATGAAGGATCAGAGGCCGGGGCAGACCAGGGTTTTTCTCCATTCTCCACTCACCCACCCAGCTATGTGTGCATGTGTGTGCCCCCATACACACAGCCTGAGCTCCCCGTGTGTTCCTTTTCTGAGTCCACCCTGCCCATGCCGTTGGGCTCAGGTCTCTAAGATTCTGTCCCATTGGGCAGCCTGGTTTATTCCTTTGACCTACCTCTATCTCCCCTGAGTTTTATCTCTGCCTTGTCCTTGTCCCTGTCCCTGTCCCTATCGCGGTCTTATCTTCATTTCTACCTCTAAATCTGCCTTTGTCCCTCTCCTTGTCCCCCTTTATCCTGCTCTCTGTCGCCTCGATGTTCAGCTCCAGGTCTCCGTGCTGTCTGTGTCTCTGACCACCTCTGACCCGGGTTTTGTGGCTCTGCCTCTGCCTGCACTGCTCTCCCCGAGTTGCTCTCTGCCTCGCTGCTCTCCTGCGGGGTCCCTGAATGTCCCAGCATCAGTTCTGGCCTCCCTGTTCCCTCTCTCTGGCTGGGCCCTATCCCCAAGCCAGAGCCATGGTGCTGAGCTTCGGCCGGCGGAGTCAGGGCTCAGTTTCCCTCACCCGGTGCCTGCCTGCGAGCCGAGCCTGAGGTGCTGGCGGGACTGGAGGGGGTGGGGTGTGGCGGGACGGGCGGGGCAGCTCTGGCATCAGCGAGGGAGGGGGCAGCGAGGGAGGGGGCACAGACAGAGGGAAGGGCCGGTCGCGGAGGAAGGGGAGCGGGGCAGGGGGAGGCCGCCCACGCGGAAGGGCTCCAGGCGCCCACGGAGGCCCCAGAGGGGGTGCCGGGGTGGAGTCTGGGGGCAGGGGCCTGGGGCGCGGGGTCCTCACCTCGCTGCGCGGCCGCGGTGCTCCCGGTGCCTGCCGGCGCCCGCTCCCTCTCCGGCCGCGCCGGCCCCGCCCCCGCCCCGCCCCGCCCCTCCCCCGACGGCGCGGCCCCGCCCCCGGCCGTTCCCCGGCCGTCCGGCCACTCCTTGTGCAAGCGCAGCCTTCAGGTGGTTAGGGCTCCTTACCCAACCGCCGCGGCACTTATCTCAGGGGCTGCCCGGCTCTGCCTTCCCGTCGAGCTAGAAAAGGACCAGAACACAGTCGGGAGCTCAGACAGCTTTAGGGAGTGGGACCAGAACAGGGATGGTTCTCTGCAACTCCTACACAGGGGAGGGAATAGGTCTGGTCCTGTCTCTTTATCTGCAAAATGGAACGTCTGTCTCCCCCGCGTCTAACAGGATGGCTGGACCCTGGCATCCAGTTAGATGGGGGGCAGGAACTGGACGTTCAGAAGTTATAGATAGGCACAACCCTCTGAGCTGAGGACCCTCCTCTCCGCATCCCTGAGATCTGGCCCTGGGTGAACAGGCGCAGAAACTCTCCTAAGTCTCTTCCAAGGGATGATGCCCTATTTGGCAACGGCAAAAAATGACTGAGCAAGCCGCCTTCACACAAGTTGCTGGGGCAGGGGAGCTGAGGAGAGATGGTTCCCTGCCCTCCCCCATTTCATCTGCAGGAGCCTGTCCCCTAGGGCCAAGGCACTTCCCCCTTAGAGCAAGGCCCGTGTTCAGCTGTGTTTGGGGCTGGACGGGAGATGGGGGGGTGGGTGCTGGCCCGCTGTGTTTTCCTGTTTGTATGAGAGGAAGTTGTCTGTGAGTCAGCGGCCAAAGGAGCTGTTAGTAGTGTGGGGAAGACCCTTGCCTCAGGGGCATGTGGGGAAGTGAGTCCCCTGTTGTCCCAGCTCAGGGACGGACTGTCATCCTCAGCCTCTTACAGCCCCATTTCCCCAGGGCCTTCCTTTTGAGAAAGAGAGTGGTAATAATTAATAACTAAAATGTTCATAATAATATGGTTATTCTGCTGGTTACTGAGAGCTGCCTATGTCCTGGGTCCTGCCTGAACATTGCTTTTGCAAATTTCAATTAGTCCTCAGTACTGTCATAAGATAAGGAATTTTATCACCTTCGTTTTACAGATGAAACAGGGAACATTAAGTAACTTGCTTAAGGCCTAGCAGTTAGAAAATGGTCAACTCTCCAAGGAACCTACAGCCCTGGACAGGACCATGCAGCAGGGCCAGGGAGGTGTACTCTGTCCTTTTTCCCACACGGGCAAGTGTGGAGGTGCTGAGAATGCGTCTCAGGAAACCGGCTATAGAGAGTGAAAGCTATCAAGGCTACCTGCTTCCCTCTGAAACCGTCAGTTCTTGCACGAAGGCCAGCTTCACCCTCAAAACCCCAAGCCAGAGCTGGAGCTCAGCAGAGATCTGAGGGCAGGCACATTCCTGGGGATCCTCTGTGGGCTGACTTTAGTTCAGGAATGACCCGATGGTGTTGCCTAACTTTCCCTGATTACATGGTGGTCTAGGATACTTCCTCCAACTTCCCTTCCTTCTCTCTGTCCTTCGAAACCCTCACAGTGCCAACTGCCTTCTTCTCCTAGAGACATTTCTCTTTTTTTTTTTTTTTTTTTTTTTTTTTTTTTGTCTTTTTGAGACAGAATCTCGCTATGTCTCGCTATGCAGGTCAGGCTGGCCTTGAGCTCACTTTGTAGCCCAGGCTGGTCTCAAACTCGCAATGATCCTCCTGCCTCAGCCTCCCGAGTGCTGGGATTACAGGCGTGAGCCACCATGCCCGGCTTCTTAGAGGCATTTCAAAGGATCAAATCCTAGCAGATTTCATCCTGCTGCGGCAGATTCTCATTGGAGGACTAACTGAGCCATGAAAGAGAATAGCAAAAAGAAAGCCCAGGATACAGGGGTTTGCAGAAATGGGTGCTTTGGTCAGAGGTAAGGAGTTTTGAACCTTTCTGGTTCTGTTTCTTACTAGTAATCAACTAAAGCATATAGATCTTATCCCCCAATAATGTTTTAAAATGCATAAAATAAAATATATAGGACTATAAAGGATACCAATGGCATTGCAATAAAGGTATAAAACTATTTTTAATGTGATACAGAATATATGTGCTTTTTTATTAATGCTTTAAACAAGATCTAGTGTTAGGTTGATACCTCACATAATTCTCAAGTAGTGATGAGCATAAATGATATTTCAAAAGTCTGTAACAGGGTACTATGATGTGAAAATACATGTGATTCCTGTTAGTGGCAAAGCTACAGTTATGGCTAATATGACTGGCTTGTTGGGATTTTCATAACTGAAAGAAATACTAAACTCTGCCCACCTCTGCTAGAGATTAGTGAAAATAATATAATTTCCCCCCATATAATTTTTTCATTAGGTTCAAGTTAGGGGTACCAGGCTCCAACTATCAGGGCCAAGCCAGAGGGAGACCTGGCTACTGCCTCCAGCCCGCTTCTTTGTCCAGCGTGATATGGAGCAAGTTGGAAGCTTTTGGCTCTGAAGTTGTATCTTCCCTGGCCCCCTTCCTGGGTTTCTCTCCATCTCTGTTTTTCTGTCTCCCTCCCTGTTTGTCTCTATGTTTTCTTCTGAGTTCAGTTCAGTCTTTCTTCCCTCTAAATCTCTTTGTGGTTTTCTGTGTGTTCAATCTATCTTCTGTCTGTCTGTATGTCTGTCCCTGTCTCTCTTTTCCCCTCCTGTGGTCCCATAATCTGTCACCTAGGGCACAGGGCAAATTCAGAAGCATCCCTATATCCCAGGCACATTAGGAGTAAAGGAACCTTCTAATTTTAGGGTCACTGGGGCTGGAAGAGGGAGTGTCGTTGGGCTTCCTCATTTTCTTTCTTTTTTTTTTGTCTTCATTCTCAGCCTTTGCAAGGTTAGACACAGGTCAAGATAGAAATGAATGACAGCAAAGGCAGAAGTGGAGGCACCCAGAGGACAAAAGCCCCTGTGCTTCTGAGCAGGGTACAGTGGGATCTTTCCCCACATGCCCCTCCATGGAGCTGCAGGGCAGGGGGCCAGATGGTAATGCTTCCCTTGGCCCCTTCCACCCCTCTGAGCTAGCGCTGCCCCGTGTGAGGCCCAGGGACTTGAACCTGGCATGGAGCAGTACTGCAGCAGATGTTAGTACTGTGCACTCAGAGATGGGCAGAAGGCAGGTCCGTGGGCTCAGGGCTTGACCTTGTCTCTGAACACTCCAGGAGGAAGAAGAGCATCTTTGTTGAGGGTATAGAACTACAAGATGACAGGCAGGGGAGGTCTAGTGATCCGAGAAGGGTCACAGCAGGTCCTGAAAGAGCTGAAGGCCTCCTAGAGAAGGGGCTGGGAGAGCTGCAATGAATCAGGTCACAGCGAGGAGAAGAGACGGAGGGTAACCACAGTCCCTGGGAGGGACCTCTTCCCTTGGTGACTACACTAGCTGTCTGTTCCTTAGTCAGACCCTCTCATCCTCACTACCCCGTATCACCAGAGCCATCCTTACAGCGAGGTCTGCCATGTCAGGTTGCCTGAGGGAACGCTGTTACCGTAGGGATGGTCACTGCTGCTCATCCTAGCTGAGCTGCTTTTCCCTTTGAGTGCTTTCCTCGGTTCCCTTAGGACCTAGTAGATGATGAGACGCCCTCCAAACTGTTGCCTGGAAGGCCACAGACTGGGTTCACCCTCACCAGCAAGGCTGCATTGTTGACTTCGCCATCCGACCTGCCCGCTCTGTGTACCCAGCTGTCAGCTGCAGGCCCACGGTACAGTGTATGCAAGGAGCTGCAATAGAATAGCAAGGTGCAGTGCGGCCACCGAAAAGAATAAGCAAGTTCCCAAAGTTTCGTCTCTCCAAGGCCCTCCTGACTTCTGCTTTTCCCAGAACCAGCCCAGCCTTTCTTGCATGCTCTTTATTTGCAGTTTGATTTGGCCTCTCAGGCATTTTGCAGTCACGAAGGAAGGAACATGGTATTAGTTCATTTTAAATCTAACCCAAAAATATAGGACAAAAGGGACACTAGTGAGCAGAGGGAGCAACAGAACTAGTCAAAGGGAATTCTCCAGCACGTCCTGGCTTGTCTTTCTTGACTTCCTATCCAGGCTATTGAGACGCAACCACTTTGGAAGCTACTTTCTTCACCAAAAGTGGAGGGTATGTAGTAATCAAGAGTAAAATTGTTGTTTGGTTTTGTTTTTGTTTGTTTGTTTGTGGTAGGGTTTCACTGTACAGTTGAGGCTAGCCTTGAACTCACTTTGTAGCCCAGGTGGCCTCAAACTCACAGTGCTCCACCTGCCTCAGCCTCCCAAATACTAATATTACAGACATGCACCAACATGCAACAGCAGAGTTTTAAACTGGATAAGGAGGCATGCACCTGTAATCCCAGCACTCAGGAATAGAGTCTTGAAGTCTTAAAAGTGGGTGTAATGGCTCACCACAGTAATCCTGTCTATTCAGGAGGCTGAGCCAGGCGGATCAAAAGTTCCAGAGTTCCAGTCCTGGCTAGTAGCAAGATCTTGCCTAAAAAAAAAAAGGCTATTGTTGAATGCTTCTTGGCTTGATCCCCAGTGCACGAAAAGAAAACAGGAGGGGAGGGAGTGAAGAGAGAAGGGGAAGATGGTAGGAGAGGAGGGAGGAGACTGCAGAGCAAAGCCCGCTGCCTCAGCTGTGGTGGGTCCTTAGCCTGTACTTCAGTTTCCTTTGCTGCAGCATGGAAACGCTGACACAACTGTTGTGAAGCTTAGTCCTTGGAAATGTTCGGGTAATGTGTGGAAAGGGGTGATGCAGTAAGTGCTCAATAAGAGTTTCCCATTCCTTGTTACTATTTTTACGGTCACTTCCATGGTAACTCTGGAGCGTATCCAGCTTGCCTACCCTGTCACCCTGGCATATCCTGGTCCTGTTTTTAATCAGCTATGCTAGCTTTTTATTTACTTGTTTGTGCAGTACTGCAGGCAAACCCCCAACTCTTTATTTTACTTCGGTTTTTAAAATGTTGAGACAGGGCCTCTCTAGGTTGCCTGGGCCAAGCTCAAATTTACAATCCTCTTGTCTCAGCCTCCCAGCAGCTAGGATTGCAGGCA